GTGCAGAGAAGTAAAGGCCACTATGCAGTGTAAGCAAAGTGGTGAAAAGTACAAAAATAATAGGCCCTGGAGCCTAATATCCTATAACAAATTCCAGCTCTGCCTCCTCTTGGCCTTGTCACTTTGGGGAAGTCACTTTGCCTCTTTGTGCCTCAGTTTTCTCATCTATGAAGCGGGGCTAATAATAGTGCTAGTTCATAGAGCTCTGGTGAGCACTGCACAACTGTTTATTACAGTTAATCACACAGAGTGGTTGGAATTGTCTCCTTGGTCGGACTAATTTGGAAAGGAAAACCTGGAGTCTCTTGGAGCATTTCCCAAGGGCATGCTCTTTTTATATTTAAATCTTGGATCTCCCTTAAGAGCAAGGATTGTAAGTCTGCAGGCCCATGACCTACCTGAAATTACGTTTCCCGTGCTGAGTCTGTGTACTTATTTCTATGAAGAGGGGCCATAGCTTTCATCGGATTTTCAAAAACAGGCTGTGGTTTCTGCATCCTTCCCTCAACCCACAAAAGGCTTAAGAACTACTGATGTGGAGAATGCAGAATTCTCACACCATACGAATGGCCCCCGAAGGGTTTTGGAGGACAGGAGATGTGTGTGAAGTGTGCAAAAGGAACAGGGCAGAGTGGAGGGACACACGGAGGTCAGCTGAGAGCGCTGAGATGTCTGCTCCTTGCTGAGACCAATGCTACAGGAAACTTCCAGCAATAGGGCAACCAAAAGGCTCACGTTCATGCTCAGTACCCCTCTCAAGGAACCCGTGGCCTCCTGGTTCCTGCTTTCTCCCAGTTCCCTAGTTCTCTTCTCTCCTCCAGTCACTCTCCCCTCCCGCACCCTCCCGCACCCAGCATGGGCGTGCGCTCTGCAGTGTACGGAGGCGTGCTTACACGCACTCACGTGTTGCTGGGACTGATTCAATGATATCTGTCTTCTTGGTTGTGTTTTGTTTCTTTTATGTTTTCTGTAGTTACGCTATAATTATTTAAGGCAAGGTTAGCCTGAAGTTGAGTTAGCATAGGTCTGACTCCGTTTGGGGGTGGAGGCTATGTTCAGTTTTTCATTAATTACATGGAAGAGGTGGCTGGTAGGTTTAATATGCTATTCCCCTTCATTTCCTTCCTCTTTCTCTGTTCTCTTCCTTCCTTCCTTCCTTCCTTCCTTCCTTCCTTCCTTCCTTCCTTCCTTCCTTCCTTCCTTCCTTCCTTCCCTGATACCTTCTTGACCCTGTACAGGGTCAAGAGAACAGGTCTCTAACCAAAGACCTGCTCATTCGTAGGAGTAAAAATTACTTTTCACAAATCTCACTCTACATCATTGCATCATACCACTCAATCCTGAGCTACAACTTCCGAGGGTTTATTAAGTACCACTCTGCCCACTTAAGCAGTGAAGATCTGTTTCAAAGGGAAAAGTCACCATCCAGTGACGCCTGGAAGGCCACCAGGGCTCTCTCCTGACTCGGTTTGGAGTGACCTCAGTGTGGATTGCAGGGGTCGGCCAGTATTCTGTTCCAGCTCCCACCCTTCTCACCCCTCTTAGTGACGGAGCCCTTTGTATTAGTCAGCTTGGGCTGCTGTACAAAATACCACAGACCAGTTGGTGGCTTAAGCCACAGAAATTTGTTTCTCACAATTCTGGAGACTGTAAGTTCAAGATCAAGGTACCGGCTGATTCAGTTTCTGGTGAGGGCTCTCTTCCTGGCTTGTAGACAGTTGCCTTCCCACTGTGTCCTCACATGGCATTTCCTCTGTGTGTCGGGGTGGGGGTGGGGGGGAAGAAAGAGAGAAAGAGAGAGAGGGAGATCTCTGGCATCTCTTCCTCTTCTTATAAGGCCACCAATCCTCTCAGATTAGGGGCCCCCATCATGACCTCATTTAACCTTAATTACCTCCCTAAAGGCCCTACTTCCAAATATAGTTACATTGGGGGTTAGTGCTTCAATTTGGAGGGGGAGGGGCATACTCAGTCCATAACAACTTTGAATTTGTTTGAGGCAGCTGTGTGCCTGCCTAGACATTACATCTCCCAGACGCTCTGACAGCTAGGCGTGGCCATGTGACTAAGCTCTATACAGTGAGGTACAAGCTGAAGAGCCGTGTGGGTTCCAGGAATACCCATTAAAACGGAAGGGACTTTTGACCTTCCTTTGTTTCTGCTTCCTGTCGTTTGGAACTGAGGTGAAGGTAGCTGAGCTCAAGCAGCCTCCTTGGACTCTGAGAGGACGTTGAGGATGAAAGCTTCCTGGTTGGGCTGGCAGAGCTGAAGACAGAAGGACCCTGCCTGGGTCCCTGGTGACCGAGGGCCACCCCCAGCCTGGACTGCCTACCTCCAGCCTGAGAGAACATTGTCTTTCCATAAGCCACTGTTCAGGGGTCTTTGTTACTGTGAGCAAATGCAATTCCCAACTGATGCATAGACGCTTACCTAGCCCTGAGTTTTGAACCATAGGCAAAGATGTTCGAAGTGCCTCTAAGACCATTGCTACTTTTCCTCATCCTCCCCTCTTTGGAAACATAATCTCACCCAGGAGGGCTCAATTTATTTGCACCTGTCCTCCCTTTTGTCTTTTTTCCCTTTCTCTGTTTTCTTCTCTCCTCCTCCTTCTCTCTCTTCTTTCCTTCCTTTTCCCTCCCTACTTCTGACATTTATTGGACATCTACTATATTCCAGCTACCATGCTAGTTGCCAGGATTACAAATAGGTATAGGATATAGTCCTTTCTCCCCAGTAACTCAGAATCCAGACATTATGGACAACATAAAGAGAATGTGCTGGTGGGATGGACAAGTGCTACAGCAGCAAAGGAAAGGGCGTTAAGTCCAAGGGACAGGGCCTGGATTGGGGGGGTTCCAGAAGAAGGTAACACTTGGCCTGAGATCTAAAATAGAAGATCTAGTGATAAGGAAAAGTGATAAGGAAAAGAGGATGGAAGACAGATCCCAGGGACGAGCATACAGACACTTAACTTTTCTCTAGCCCTTGGTTTCCTCACCTGTAAAATGGGGATAGTAATATGAATTAATGAGTACACAGAATAGTATGTGTGCAATACATGCTACTTATTGACACTATGATTGCTGGCAATGTGCTGTTTACCCATAGTACACACAGCTCTGTATCAGTTTTGGAGACAGGCTTCACAGAGAACATAAGTGACTTGTTCATGGTCACACAACTAAGAAAAGGCACTGCTTAAAACCAAGTATCCTCATCCCTGGTCCAGTGGCCTTTCTACTTCCACCCTCTACCTTTGCATTAAGTGCCAAGAGGACGCAAAATGAGGGAAAGATCAGTGAGTGTTAGGGGAAAATCTGGAGGGCTTGCTGGAAGAGGTGAGAATTAAAAGAGTTTTGAGAGAAGGGGAGAGAGGAAGACATTCTAGGGAAGGAGAGTATGATGGGCACCATCAACCAGGGTGTTGGGGATGGTTGGGGGAGGGGCTAGCTGGCTGGCAGAGGGTTGAACCACAAGGATTAGTGAGACACAGGTAGGATAGACAAAGAGAGGCCAGATCAGAAGATGACCCAGGAGGACAGGCACCCTAATGACCAGGTAGTAGAATAAAGATTTGAGCCAGTGGGCCAGAGGGAGTCATAGGAAGTTCTTGAGCAAGAGAGATGGTTATAATGAAGTGAGACTTTGGGGAGAAAAGAAAAAAACCTGTCTTTACTAAGAGCCAGTATGGGCTAGGGAGTAGGTTGGGCATTTTCAAATTTATTATTTCATTTGATCCTCACAACCACCCTTAGGTTAGTATCAGTGCCCCCATTTTATAGGCAAGAAAAGTGAGGTCGAGAGATTGCACCATGTGACTTCATGCTGCTCTCACTCTCGGAACAGCCCTGGTGCTGCAGGCGTCCCCCCCCCCAGGCACTGCTGCCCAGCCAGGGCCTCGAGAGACTTTTCACAGTCCAGAGAGAGCTTGGTACCCTTAGATTCTTGGGAACCCCCAACATAGGGTGGTGTTCAGTAACTCGGAATCCATACTTTACAAACGTAAGCTGTCCACAAGTGCTTGGCCTCTGGGTCAGATAGAAATGGGTTCGAATCCCAGCTCAGCTGTGCACCCAGCCTCCACTGAGGTGGGGCAGTGGGAGGAGCCCTGGATTGGGAGCCAGCTCAGGCACACACTGAAATCCGAGCTGGAAGTGACAGACGCCTGAGGAGGTGAAGTGATGTCTTTACTTATTTCAAAATAATGGGGGGGGTGCAATTCGGAGGGGGTAGAGAGGAAATAAGATTGCCCTGAATTGATAATCGACCCTGGGTTATGGGTTTGTGGGGTTCCATTACACGATTCTTTCTACCTCTATGTGTTTGAAAATCTGCATAATAAAAAGTAAAATCATAACACCAGAAACTTTGTAAAAACCCAGTTATGTTCACCATACCCTCCCCCAGTTGAATTGGAATCTCTAATGCCCAGGAATTGCCCTGCTGAGCCTGTTTCCTCATCTGAAAATGGGGTGAAGATTCTAAGGACCCACAGAATTGTTGTGCGGTTTAAATGGGATAATATGGTAGACATAGTGTATAACAGATGTTAGCAAGTCATCCTGGGCTTCGCAGTCACCCTGAGCACCACATTTGGGGAGGAACCCTAAACCAATATGTGCAGCAGAAGCCAGCTGATGGCCTAGCAGGGGACAGGCCCCACCTTCTGGGCAACTTTTACAAGTTTTCCAAAGCACAAAGAATTCATCTCCTGGAGGGGCCTTGTCATCTGCCTTTCCCAACTGCTTAAAGCCCAAGCTCAGCATCCTTCCCTCTTCCGCCTGCGCTGAGTGTGTGTGCCACACATACCCAGGTGTGCCCGCGCAGGTGGGCTATTTCTGTGAAAGCCCGGTGAGTGTGTGCAGACATGCAAGCCATGAGTGAGCACGTGTGTCGACAGGCATTTCTATCTGTGTTGGTTGTGCTCACCTAGAGGCCCACAGGCTTATGGCAGATTTCAGCAGTCGATCCTTCTTCTGGAGCTATCTCATAGGCACACATCCCTGATCTGTTATTTATTCGAAGTCACCCAGCACGAGGACCTGAGGGTCACTCAGTATCACCAACAGAGGGGCAGGTGGGCGGGGGGAGGGCGTTGAATGGTTTTCTCCGCTGGCGTTGCCACTGGCTTCCAGGACTTGGCCTCAGTTTCTCCAGCTGTGTTGGGGGCGAGGAAAGGGATGGGCAGCCCTTGGCCCCGGAGTAGGCCCTAGGAAATAATCAGTGAGCGAGGGGTGTGAATGAATGCGTGAATGTGTGGGGACCATCTCAGGGTGGCAGACAAGGTGACTTGGAGCCGCGAGAGTGGTGGCGGGAGCTCCCCAGGCTGGGAAGGGACTCGTGGCACTTGGACTAAGCCCTCTGGGATAGGAAAAGAGAGCTAGGAGAAAACAAAGGCAGCAGCTGGAGCCGGTGGAGAAGAGCAGGGGAGACGGTTCGCAGCAGGAGAGAAGGAGCGAGAGGCAGGGGCCTCCCGGACAGCGCCCCAGAAGCCGTGCGAAAGCGGAGGCGCTGGGGCTCGGGATGACGACCCAGCGGGCGGCCTGCGCACTGCCCGGGTTCCCGGTCTCCTTCCCGCTCCTCCGGGCTCCGCAGCGCCGCCTGGCGGACACGCGGCGCTTCGCCAGGACTCCAGCCGGCGGCAGCGCGCCTGGGATCCCGCGGCTGCACGGGAGAACGCTGGAGACAGCTGGGGGCGCACCTTGGGGAGGGGCGTTTGTCCCTCCGAGGAGGCTCGCACCTCGCCTGGACATGCAGCACATGCTGGCACCCACCCTTCACTAACCCCGCGCCGCGGGTGACTCGGCTGCGTCCAACACGTCGGGGAATCCTTTCTGCCCTCGACCCCTGGCGCCCCAGCTCCAGAATTTTGCTGCCTCTGCGTATCTTCTCCGGGGAGGGGGTCTCATTAAACTTTTAAGGGAAGGGGCTTGTTTTGGGGTTTTGTTAATAAAATACCAAGAGAGGACATGAAGGCACGAACACTCCCAGTTCGTCTCCCGCCAGTCCCAGGCCTGAATCTCAAGGCAGGGAAGTTTCTAGGTCTTTCCCTGCCGGAGCAGGTCCTAGCAAGCGGGGTGTGGTGGCCCAAGGAACCCTGTCTGAAGACGCGAGGCAAAGGAGGGCAAAGCTTGCGGGTCACAGTGGCTAGGAGCACGTGGCTGGTGCTGGTGAGACGGTGAGCAGCAGCCTGGTTTTCAGGTCCCAAGCCGCGGGCACGGGTGTGTGGGACCCCGGCCGCACCACCTCCACGAGCGCCCTCCCCGCCCACCTGGCGGGGCTGCGGGCAGCGGTGTCTGTCCCACAACCTGGGGTTGGCAAGCTGTCCCGTCGGCCAGGATTCTCGAGAAACCAGGTCCAGCCCGGACTCTCTCGGCTGGACCAGAGTGAGAGCGGGGCTGCGGCGTCCCCGGGGTCCTCCTGGGTGCCAGCTCCCGTTCCCAGGCTCTCGGGGCGCACAGGCATCAGGGTCAGAGGCGCAGGAAGCTACCCGCTCCGTACAGGTGGTGACGAAGCCAGAGTCTGCACTAAGCCCGCTCCGGGCGGCGTCCCGGAGGTCGCTGGGGTTGCTTTGCGTGCAACCCGGGAAAAGGCCCCGCAGCCTTGGGCAGGCGCTAGGAGGAGGGTGGAAAATCTTAAAGTCAGCAAGCCCTGTGCACATGGAGGCGCCCAGACCGAGGGCCGAGGGCGGACTCTGCGCGGCAGTGAGTCCCCAGAGGCCACAGTGGGAGCTGAGCGCTTAGGGAAGCCCGACTCAGAACCCAGCACGGCCTAACGCCGGGGAGAGGGGAGTTCCGGGGTGCGCTCAGCGCCGCCACTGCAGGGTCCCGGGATACCCCCAATGGCGCTCTGGGATCATACCTCCCAAACCAGAAGACCAGAGCTCGCGCCCAGCTCAGGAGTTTCTGTGAGACGGCACCGGGTCTCCGACTCCCCGAAAGCGACTAGGACTTTTCTGTGGGTGGTTCTGTCGGCGCTTCAGGCAGCTCAGTCCTGCGGCCCAAGCTGGGGAGAAGGGACCGGCGCGCGCCGCGGGGACCCGCGCGGGGACCCAGGCTCCGCCGGCGTTTGCGGTGCGGAGCTCGCAGCCGGAACGGCCCCCAGCGCCCATCTGGGTGCCCCAGAGAGGCCGAGCGTGGGCTCCAGGACCCTCGCGGGGCCGAATTTCAAGGGGCTTCCGGGTCCCTTGCCCGGGCGCGCTCTCCTGCGGCGCAGACTGGGTAGAGCGCCGGCTGCAGACAGGCAGGGCGCGGGGAAAAGCAGAAAAGCAGCCGCGGCGCCGGCCGGCCCAGGTCGGACTCCGGAGGGAGGAAGCTGCCCGGGGCGGGGGTGAGGGTGGAGGTGGTTCTTCTGGCCCGCGGCAGTCAGAAGAAAAGAGAACTCACTTTCCCCCAAGGGACCAGAGGGTTGCGGCGCACTCTTCCCAGGCCTGGGAAACAAACCGGTTCCCCAAGCGCCCCTCGGTCCCCCAAACTATCCCAGCTGCCCGCCAGGGGCCGGGGATGCTCGGACTGCGAAGAGAGGGACAGCCGGCGGCCGCTCGTTCCCCGGCCCAGGCCGGGCCGGCGAGTCCGGCCTGCTCTTGTCCCTGCACAAAACGAAACCCAAACGCCCAAAAGTCTCAAGAGGGAAATTTAACAAAAAACCCACTTTCCCCCCTCCTTTCACTTTTAACAAACCGGCTGCTAAGAGAAAATGTAAATAAAAACGAAATGATTGATAGCAAAGGGCATTATCTTTCCAAATTGTGAAATTTCCTCTTTAAAAATATTTTCCCCAAGGCCAACCCTGCAGCTGGCCGGCCCTTCCAATGCCTTGGCCTCTTCCAGAAAATCACAACAAAGCAATCGGAAATTCGGCCACGGCCCTGGGAACCCACTGCGGGTTCTGCCATGCTCTCTTTAACCAAAAAATAAAAAAAGATAAGAAGAAGAAGTAAAACGTTTTAATACATCAAATATACGGAATTTTAATCTTTAAAGCGATACATTGTCTATTATTTTAGTACATGACGTAAACCTTGTCCCCTTCTCAGCGGGTGGACTTAAAAATTAAAAATAGTTAAGTGTTCCTTTTAAAGAACAAAATAAGGCAAATGAGGTTTTGGAATAGAATTGTTTTTCCTTTTTTTTGTTGTTTTCTTCCAGAATACATACAAAAAAATACCCATTCTCTTTCGATGGTATACACCTTAAAAATAATTGCAATTTGAAATCAGAGCTGACAAATTGTGACTTGTTTTGTTTCGTTTTTTTTTCATTTTTTTGTAACAAACATGCATGTAAATTTGTGTTTCAATCAGACATTAAATAACGTACAATACAATCATAGCAATTTTAAAGTAACATTAAAGAGAAGACCTCTAGTTCTGTGGCGGTTTTGCTTTTATTTATAATCTACAAGGGATGGGAGGGTTTGTTTTCCACATTTTTACCCTCAAGTTTTAATTTCTTTCCCCTCCTTTTTTTTTTTTTTTCACCTACGGAGCTCAAACTAAATAATGCACTTTTGAACCACGGGTCCGCTTGGAGCTAACATAAATAAATACCAGTGTCCACCGACGCAGTCCTCGGATGAACACTGTCTCAATTACTTTTTCCTTCTTTTTCTATAAAAAGTCAAATGATATTTTTTTCAACTTTTATAAAGTTTGGGTGGGGAGGTGAGAGGTGGGGCAAAGGGGAGTTTCCCACCGGGTCTCGCTCGCTGTAATCGGGTAGATAGATAGGTGTACGCTATTCCTTTCGTGGCCTGGGTCTCCCCTGCGCGCGGGTGTCAGCAGCCCGGGCCGCGATCGCGCCCCGCCCTCGGCCCCACCCCTCCCCCAGCTCCTCTCTCCCTCGCGAGCCCCGCCGGCGCCCTCACTGATACCCCAGCGCGGAGGCGGTGGTCAGTCTCTGTCCGTAGAGGGCGTAGGGGGAGTAGTAGGGTCCGGTGGCGGCGGGCACCGGCACGGGGGCGCCGGGCGTGGGGAGCGGGCTCTTGGAGTAGGGGTGATAGCGGCTACTGAGTCCCAGCGCGTGGTGGGGGCTGCGCAGCGCCAGCGTCCCCGGGCTGCCCGGCGCGGCCGAAGTGGGGATGTGCATGTGGCAAGCCATGGCGGCTGCGGCGGCGCTGGCCAGAGACGACGAGCTGGGGTAGCCCGACAGCAGTTTGTCTGTCCCGGGGAAGGCCGTATGGGTCCGCAAGTGGCTCAGCAGCTCTTCGGACGTGGCGAAGCGCTTGTCGCACGGCCCGTTGGCCGACACCCAGTTGCAGATGTGGGGGAGCGGGTCGTTAGGGAGCATAAAGCCGTAGGGGTAGAGGGGGTGGCCGGCCAGGGAGGGCGGTGTGGCGCCTGCGGCAGCGGCAGCCGTTAGCGACGAGTGCACGCCGTGCAGTGGGTGCGTGGGGTACACCAGAGGGTATCCGGACTTAAGTGCGGCGGCCGCAGCGGCCGGATCGTGCGCGCACGACGCGCTGGCGGCCGCCGCCCCTGCCAGGTGGCTGGCGCAGTGGTAGCTGAGGCAGTACGGGTCCCGGCACAAACTGGCCGTCATCACGGATGGTGGCGACGCCCCGGCCAAGGGGCTCGAGCCGGCCGGCTTACTGCAGCCCAGAGAGCCGGCCGCGGCTGCCGCCAGCTGCGCCCCCACCAGGCTCCCCGGCTTGGTGGGGTCGAGAGCCACGCCGTGCGGCAGGAACTGAGGCGGGTAGCCAGCGTAGGCCCCGGCCAGGCTGCCTGGGTAGGTCATACCCGCGGGAGGCAGAGGGAACACTGTCTGGCCCGGCTTGTAGGGTGACACGGGTGCCACCAGCCCAGAGCCCAGCACTGAGGAGGAGGTGGGCGCGCTGGGGCCGGAGCCAGAGCTAGCGCTCGAGGAGCCGCCGCAGTCCGAGCCTAGAGCCTTGCCCCCCGGGCCCCCATCCGGGTGCTGATTCACGTCCACATTAATCCCGCCGCCGCAGCTAATCCGGCCATGCGCCAGCCCCGTGGGTCCCCCTTCCGCCGAGGCGCCCCCAGCGCCCTTGCTGCTGCCGCCGCCCGCGTCGGTGTCTTTCTTGTCGTCCTTGCCCTCTGGGCCGCCCCCGGCCGAGGGCAGCATGCCTCCCGGCGAGCAGGCCGAGGCACTGGAGCTCGGGCTGCCTGTCCTGGGCGTGAATGGCTGGCAGGTGGCGCTCGGTACCCGGAATCCCGACTTCTCCGCTGAAACACCCCCGCCACCGCCACCGCCGCCACCGCCGCCTCCGCCGCCGCCCGGCTCCTTCTTATCCGAGCCGGGTTTGGAGTACGGCTTGAAACTTGACTTGTCTTCCACGCCGATGTCGCTCAGCTTGAGGGGGCCCGACTTGGCGTCCTTGTCGCCTGGGGCGCCGCCGCCGGCACCTCCCGTGCCGCCCCCGTTGGAGGCGACCGAGGAGAGTTTGGAGGAGGGCGAGGGGTCGGGCTTCCCGATCTGCGAACATGTTTGTGCCAACAGCGCCAGCGGGCTCTTCTTGGCGTCGAGCTGCGGGGTGGGGTGTGGGGGTCACACAGAGAAAGAAAGGGAACCCTTTAGACTCCTGGCGTCTGGGGTTCAAATGCCCCTCCGCACCAGCCCACGAGGATCCTCCCCGCCCCGGGGCGCGATTCTAAGCGGCACCCCCGCTCCACGACTCACCCACAAGCAAACATTCTCGCCCTTGGGAAAGGCGGCGGATACCCCCCCATCAGCATCTTTCCTGCCCTCTCTGAGAGCTAAACGGATTTTTTAAAAGACAAAATGTTTTGTTTTTCTTCTCCTGGATCCAGAACTACACCCCCCCACACACACACCCCTTAATTTTTCAGAGTAAGGGCTCGGGCGGTTGGCGCCTCAGAGGCTGGGCACGCGTACTAGCTTCTGGGAGCCGGAGGACGGCGACTTTGGAAACGTTTTTCAGACCTCCGCCTGCCTCAGTGCCGAGTAAGTGAGGGGCCTGGGTCGGGAGGGGCTTCAACATCAAAAGGAGGAACCGGTTTTGGCAGCCTGCACACCGGGTCCCACCTCCTCCCCCTTTCTGCCCCAGTTCTGAGGTGCTGAAGCACGGTCCTCTTCCCCTATCCCCGAGCTGAATCACTCCGACCCCCACCGCTAGATCGCGAGAGAAAGAACCCCCCAGGGCGGCAGCTGGGGTAGTGGTCCCAGTGCGATCCAGGGAGAGGGACAGGGTCCTTACCTCGATGGGGCTGACGGGCGTGGAAGGCAGGGGCTGCAGGTACTCAGGGTGCAAAATGTGGCCAGTCCGTGCCGTCAGCATCTTCAGTACCTTGATGGGCAGGCGGTTGGCCTGGCGCAGGGGGTCAGAGGGGGGCACGGCGTGCACAAAAGGCTTGGTGCTGCCGGCCGGGGACGAGCCTGGGCCGGGGCCGGAGCTACTTCCAGAGAGCGCGCTGGTCCAGGCAGGGTCTGCGCCGCCGCCGCCGCCGCTGTGCTTACTGCTTCTTAGGGCAGAAAGCGAGGGCGCTGTGCTCATGACCCACCCGCGCGCATGGGAGCAGCGGGGGGAGGGCTCCGGGGCTGCGCGCTCGCCCGGGGAGCAGGAGCAGCAGGAGGAGGAGGAGCTGGCGCGGCGGCCACGGGCGCCCAGCGAGCCTTCTCGGCGCCTAGAGCCAGAAGCGAATAATCCTGGATGGCTCGCAGCGGAGCCGTGGCCGGCCTGGAGGAGCCGGCTGGACTGCGGGAGTGCCGGGCGGCTCGCGGCGTCCGCCCCGGGCTGCTCCCCTGCGCTGCGCTCTCGCGGCCCCGCGCCGGCGCTGCGCTCCGCGATGTGAGCCGCTGCGTGTCCAGCCGGGGCTCTGGCGAGGAAACTCACTTCAAAAGCAGCTGCACCGAGGGGGAGATTAAAGCCTTTGCCGCCTTCCAATCAAATGGGAGCCCGAGGTGATTGGAGGGTCAAGGGGATGTGACGCGTCCCGCGCCGCCGCCGCCGCCGCCAAGACTCTCGGAGCTGGTATTAATGGGCAGCTCTCTCTTCGCCACCCCCCTGCGTGTCCCCTCCCTCGATTTCGCTCGGAGGACTAGGTGGACATTTATTCTACGTTTGTCATTCGCCGCCTCCCTCTCTTTTCCTCCTCGTCGTTCTTCCTTTCCTAGCTCGAAAATAAACTGAAACCTCCTTTTGGAGGTGGGTGCGAGTGAGGAACAGACTGAGGGGGTGTCCAGAAAGGGCACGGGCGGGAGTGTGGACGCCAGCCGGACTGTCAACTGCAGAGGCGCGCAGGAGACCCGCACACCAAATGTTCTTTCCTCCTCAGTAATTGAGATCCCGCGCGGCGCGGCCACCAGGGTATGGAAAGGTGGGGAGCCCGTCCTGGAGCAAGTCCGCCCGCCCGCTTGGATTTCCTGAGATTCGGCAGCAGAGAAACCAGAAACTGGATGGGCAGCGGAGGCGGCGGCTGCTCAGCACGGCGGTGCGCGCCCGGCTCTCCGCCCTTCCCGGCCACGTGATCCTCCCGGCCGCGTAGATTGGGGCTGGAGCGGGGGTCACATGTTTCCTCTGTTTCACACTCGGTCTCTCCCCCCACCCCATTCTTACTCTCCCCTTCTACCCTCTCTTTCCTCTCCCCCCGCCCGTTCTTTGGGCATCTCCACCCCTCCATCAATTGTCAATGTTCCTCGACCGCAATCAATCAGTTATTTGTCAGCTCTTGTCAATCCGCCCGTGATTTATGTCAGCTTTTGTTGCTGATTACAAGGCGGGTGCGACTTGAAGAGAAAAAGAGAGAGGGAGAGAGAGACAGAGGAAGGAAGAGACCGAAGGGAACCGGGGGAGGGGGAAAGAGGAGCAGCCTCCTGGGATGGGGTGTGGGGGGGCGCCAAGAAAAAGAATGAAAGACGGGAAAGCGGCGCTCGGTGTCAGGAAAATGCATAGTGGGAGGAAAGTGCGCAGGTGCGCCCAGAGCGCGGAGAGGGGCGCGCAGGCCCGGGGTGCGCGCCTCCCCTCGCGGTGTCGGAGAGATACGCACCCTTCCACCTAGTAGGGCGGCGGGCGGTCGGGGTCGCGGAGTGCTGGGCGGCTCTGGGTACCTGAGACGGGCAGCGGCGACGTCTAACATGAGAAACTTCCCATCGCCACCTTTTTCCATAGTCCCTTGGGGGCGTGTAGCCTGCGGACGTCAGGCCGCCACCCTGCCGCGGACAACTAACTACCCTCAGTACTTCCCCGACCCCAAACTCGGAGACTTTTCTAAGAGCCACACCACCAAGTAACCTTGAGTCCTGTGGGTCAATGGAGGGGTAAGCCCCCCTCAATTCTTTGACCCCCTGGGATCGTAACCAGGGCTGAGACGAAGAGGCCTGGCCGTGGGTGTATGGAGGAGAAACGTCTCAGGCTCACTCAAGTCGCCTCCCCAGTCCTCCCCCGCCACCCGCCTGGCGCCATCCCAGCAGGCTTGGGAACCTGTGCTTCCCGGGGCTTCTCTCTCGAATTTAGTGGCACGCAGGGCTGGGGCTGACCTGCGCTGGGAGAGCCGGGGGAAGGAGCGAGAGAGGGAGGGGGCGGCTGCCTGTGGGAACGCGGGTTCTTGCAGGGAAGCGGACCGAAACTGCCGCGTTCCCCTCGATTTGCACCGTCACTCGGGCTGTTTTGAAAGAAGAGGGGAAGCGTTGAGCGTGCCATCGTGCACCTGGATCTGGGTGCACAGTGTGTACGTATGACTGTACCGCTGCGTGAGTTTTCAGGGCTTTGGTACCTAGCGTCCGGGCAGAGTTCGAGGGTCACCTCCAGAAACTGGCAGAAATTGGAAGGGGTGAGAGGAGGACACACCCCTTTCCTTGGACCGACTTGGAACACTTTGAATCTCCCCTCCCCCACTTTTCCGCCCTGGCTCTTCTTTTGTTGTCAAGTCCTTTTGATAAATGGTGGGGCTGGGAGCGCTGGGAGCCCGGAGCCAGCCGGTGCCCGCGCAGGGGCGGGGGCCGAGCCTGGAGACCCGGTTTGGACCGGCGCGCACCCGGCGCTGAGCCGGGTCTGGAACCCTGGAACCTGCCCTCGGCGTGCTCGCCCTCTCCCTCCCCACCCTGCTCCCCTCCCCCTGCGTCTCTGTCTCCCACTCCGCACGGGTGCCGAGAACTTTCTGGGGTGAGTTTTAGAATTTTCTAGTAGGCATTCTTTTTCTGCGTTTTAATTTTAGCCCTTGGTTCTCCAGGTTGGCAAACTTTATGAAATAGTAACTTGCCTAAAGGTAATTTGGAGCGGAGAGAGAGGGAATTGAGGCGGTGTGTGTTTCCGACCGGTGTTTGTCGGTGTGAGCATGTAAGAACACACCTGCACTCAAAGGGGTTTGTCGTGTCTGTGCGACAACTGAGGAAGGCGAGACGGTGGCGAGGCCACACGCAAGGGTGTAAAGGTTGTCCGAATGATCTTCCGGGAGCGAGTCCCAGGTGCCGGTGTCCGAGGGCGATACAGTCCTAAGCTGCCTCTGCAGGGCAGCGTGTCTGGGTGTGTGAGTGTCTGCCTGTGTCACTGCGTGCGCCGCCGTCTAGGTAGAGACTCAGACCAACTGCAGCGCCGCCAGCCTAGCCTTGGGCCGAGTGTCGCCGCGACCTCCCCGCGAGGCCCGGGCACTGAATGCTGGCAGCTGCGGCAGAACTGGGGGTGACCGCAGGCCAGGGGCGTCCCTCCCCACCCTCCACCCTAGTTTCCAGACGCATCTTTCCCCCTCTGCTCTAATTCCAGCAGCTTTCTTACTACAGCAGGCGGCTCAGGGGAGGCAGCCCCAGCACCCAAAGCCTGGGGGAGCCGTGGAGTGGCTCCCGCATTCCCGGGTTTGGCCGCGCACGCTCGGGGTCTGCGCCGTGCAGCCTGGGCTCGGGGCGTAGCTAGCGAGCATTCGCTCCTCTCCAATCTCGACTCGGAAGGTCCGAGCGCACGGGGGCGCCTGGGGGCCTCCGCGCCCGGGGCTTTTGGGAGGCGCCAGCGTCCGAGCCTGCGCACCTCATGCCCAAGGCCAAACCCCGAAGGCCCCGCAGGCCAGGGGGGTGGGGGTTATTAATTACTCTGCGCTAGGCCTAATGCCTCCAACCCCCAGCAGCGGTTGGCGCGGATGTCCTGCGGATTTTATTTGCACACAATGGAAATGATTTGTTTTCTCTAAGAAAGGAGTGGGCATGGCAGATATTTGAGGAGGGAGTGGGAGGAGGAGAAGAAGGAAGAGTAGAAAGCTGAGGGAAAAAGTTTGAAAATGCCTTGAACTATTCACTGTCGAGATGGCTAATCAGTATTGAGGCCGGAGGGCAGGCGGGCCGCCTTTCACCGCCGCTTCCCTTTCATCTCGGGCTCTGCGGAGGCGCTCAATTAAAAGCCTATCAGTTTGTAAGTAAATCAACGCCTATCAGAGTTGTCACATCAAACAAAACGATTATTATTGCAGCCCGCCTCCCCTATTAATCTCCCTCGAAGATAATCCGCCTGACAGGTCAGGCCCGGCGAGCTGGAAAGCCTGGCCCAGAGCGCCGAAACAGTCCCGGACTGGCATGCACCCCCAGGGGCCTCCCCACCCGGGTCCTGCCCGCTATGCTGTCCCCCAGGACGGGGAAGAGAGAGAGCGCGCGGAGGCCGCTGGACCCAGGCCGCCCCACCCGACTGGGAGCCGGGCCCAGATTCGCGGGGCTAGCGGGGGACGGACCCGCGCGGCCCTCGCCGCTTCTCGGGGCGGGGTTGGAACCTGGCGTGCAGGAGCCGCAGCCTGGCCTGGTCCCGGGGCTACCCCACGGCCTGCGCTCCTCTCGGCTTGCCTCCCCTGCCTCTCCATTTCTTTTCTCTTTCTCCCTTCTCCTTTTTCCTCTCCCGCTTCCTTCTTGACTTCCTACCCTTTTTCTTCATTTCCTCTTCCTTTTACCTTTTCCTACTTGTCAGGGCATATTTCCTATTCTCGCTCCCTCCTCTCGGCATACCGTCTAGACCACTTCGGTGCGCAGTGACACTCTGGAGCAGGGCATTCTCCGGGACCGGGTTATTTCTCCTGCGGCAGGGTCGCCTCAGGAGTGCGTGCAATTCCCAGACACTCACGACAAATTCCTTCCTAATTTCTCTCGAAAAGCAGGCGTTCTTAGCAGCTCTGCGCCTGTTTAAGGGTTGGGTGCGTTTGGAGGGGTGAAGGGAAAAGAGAGAGAGAGACACGGGGCAGTGAGATGGGTGGGCAGTTGCAAGCGCCCTATTCTGGAATTAGTATTTGGTCTTGGAATTTTACATCTGCAACGTTGCCGACATCACTGTTGGCGTTGCCTGGGCTTTGCAAATACGTGGGGAAGACTTGGGGAGCATCCGGGCCTCAGTACTATGTATGTGAGGGGTTACCTAATATTTCATAAGTAACTACACCCCGGTAACTGCTTCTGTTCCCAAACTGGAGCCCCCAGGGTCGAGTGGGGCCTGGTTCCGGGAGAGCGCAGAAATTGTGGCCTTCTTCCCTGTGGCCTCCTCTTGGCGTTTTGGGAAACGAGCTTGACCCGCCCTTTTCTGCTCTCTTCCTCCAAATCTATAGACCCAAGTGGTCACTGCTGGAGCTGGGTGGAGCCAGGATTGAGGGGTGGATTAGGTGTCTGCGGGGGAAGGGCTGCCCGCGGGCCCCCAGGCCCTGCTACCTTATGTACCATGCGGGGTTCAGCGGCCGGCAAAGGCTTTTTTTCCACGCCTGCATACCGGAGAACCCCCAAGGCGCTGCGTGTTGGGTCTATCCTCTCCCAGCAGTCATGCCAGCGTCCAAGGCCGCAGGTATGGAATACAGCACACCTAGGCGTGCTTGGCAAACCGGGCTCCAGGACCCACGGCCCCCACACAGGGTTCCCGAAAACCAGTTTGTTTGCACTCTCTACAGCCGATCTCGTAGGAATATTTATTTCTATGCCCAGAAATATTGAATTGATGCAGTGGCTCAGTTACCTTCGCGCCTGCTTGTCTTAAATGTATTTATTTTACTTCTGCCACGCCGCAGATATTTAAGGAGCTGTAGATACCGCACCCCTCAACAATGCGGGACTCACTCTAGCCACAGGAAATATTTGCTGGGTGGTTATTTGGACATAAGTTCCATCTTAAACCCAGATTGACACCCAAGCAGGGGCTATAAAGATACTTGCTCTAGAATTTTTCCAATTTAACTATATGTGCACACATGGAGAATTTAAGAATATTTTATATCCCTCTCTAGATCTAAATATTTAGATGTGTTCTGTTGCATGCCGTGAAGCTAAAAGCAATCAGTGGTGTTCATACTGGACATGGAGATGTTGTATCATTTTCATCTCCCTGCACTTAGATAGGAATCTCAATCTAATAAATTCAACCTTGTCATTTTTAGAATCAACAGGATTTCTCCGGCTGTCGTTTGCGTTGCATTTATCCGAATAAATCCAGCTCGCAGGCATCAGGCAGAGAACGGCTCCTGGCTCGAGTGCAGGCAGACGCCTCGGCCCAGCGCAGGACAGGACGCGAGGGGGCTCCTCCTGCTCCGGCGCCTGCGGGTCCGGTCTTTGAGGAAGTCTGGACGAGCTGCGCCCCCAGGTCCAGTGGTCTCTTGCTGCCCCGCAGTGCCTGGCACCCCCGCCCCACCTCTGCCCCGACCTCTGCCGATGCTTTGGAAATGCGCCTGGCCAAGTCCGTCCGCAGCGAAACTGAAAGCAAATTCCCCGGCAGAGACAGCTCGAACTTTCTCCGACGCAAGTTAGCAACAGAGATGGAGTGGAGGCTCCGGAAGGACAGTGCGCTAGTGTGAGCGCGTGCGGGGTGGGGCGGAGGAAGAGGAGTGAAGAGGGCACTGGGTGGCCGGGCCTGGCTGGCGGCGAAACGCTAGGGAAGGCATCTCGTCTTCCTTATTTCTGGGCAACTTCTATGCCCCTAATGGTAAAAATAGTTTCCAAGCTGCCTCGGACGCCCAGGATGTGTTTGTAGAGATCACAGTGGGGAAGATGCGGCTTTGGAAAAGTTGGCAAAAGAGCTTTACCCAGAATGGTCCCCCCGGCGGGGTTCAGGAAAGCTTGAGACCAGCTGGCTTCCTTCGGGGTGGAATGGCCAGGAATCGGCCTGAGGAACCAACTCCCTGCCCACTTCTCTGCCCTCACCTCCAACTAAGGCTTAAATAACCTACCACCGCTTGCGCTGCAAACTTCCCCGCGTGGTCGGCGGGCGAGGCCTGGACGCAGAGGGGGCCCACAAGACTGCTCCTCGGTGCGCTGGGCCCCAGCCCTGAGAGAGGCTTGAACGGAGGTGGGAGGACTAGTGTGGTTTCCGCTCCCACTTGGCTTGTCCAGACCCTCATGGCAGATCCCCCAACTCCCGGGAGCTGGCGCTTCCCCCTGAGACCCACAATCTTGGGGGGCCGGCTAGGGCGCAAAGTGCGCGCGCGGGCCCGCGCGGGGGCGGCCGCCAGTCTCTCTCTCCGCGGGGCCTGTCGCCGGGCCGGCCACGGCGGGTGAGTGATGAGGGCAGAGAAGGGCGCCCATAAATCGCGGGTGTCAGGGCGAAAAACTCTCTTTATTGTCTGCGTGATGGATGGGCCCGGGGACGAGACACCAAATACTTCGTATCGCCTTTAAATGGGAACACATTTTCCGCGGCCATAATTCATGTTTTTTAAATAGAAAGTTTGAAATGTTGCCTATATTTCACCGGCCCTGACATATTTATGAATCGCTCCCTGCATGCAAATATCATTATTTAAAGCGCCGGGGAGAGCGCGGGGGAGGGGAGGAGGCGCGGCCCCCGGGGCATGGGGGTGGTGAGCCGGGGAAATGTCGGTGGAGGGGGGCTCTCTCCCTAAAGGGCAGATGATGAGGCGCGGGGAAAAGCTGTATCCGGAAACCAAGCGCACCCTGGGGCTTCCCTCCAGCCAGTGGACCCCGCGCGCCTGCCTGGGGAAGTTTTCACGGCTTAGGACCGAGGACAAGCCACCATACCCTGCCAAGAGACCAGGGAATATTTTGCGTCCCTCTCCGAGGCCAAGATCTAAGCTGAAGCCACCTTTTCCAAGAAGAAAGTTAAAAAAAAAATTTAACAAACTCAAATAATAATAACCCAACATGTTTCGTGTTCTTTGCCATTGCATCGATTTTATTGATTTTCATTCTGCAAACCTGGGATTGTGCGCGCCCAGGCGGGGTGGCCGTCAAAACCCAGTCACCTCAGGGAGTGGGTGGGGGACAATCCTCCAACACCGCGGCCGCGACCCGCCCTCACCCAAGCAGCTCGCCACCTCCCAGGCACAACGGAGCCTGCGCAAGACGCTAGGACACAAATGACCCGGCCCCCAAGCTCCGGGGGTTTCAGTCCCGCCCCTCCTTCTCTTCAGTGCACTGCAGCGCTTCCCTCGTCCGCGCCCGCCCTCCCGGATCACCCACTGTCTCTACCAACGCTGTTTTTTTTTTTTTTAAAGCCGAGCACGTGCAGTCGGCCTCTCCCCTGCCCATCCGGCGCGGGAGGCGCCCACGCCTGCACCGTCACTTGCCGAGACTTTACCTGTGCAATCCCCCGCGGCGCCCGCGGTCGCGCCGGTAACAGAGAAATGGAAGGGAGGGCTGGGGGGTGGGAGGGACAGAGAACACCGCCCGACAGCCAGGTGTGCGGACCCAGGGCCTCCTCTCCGGACGGGTGCTCGGGCCCTGGCCGAACCAGCTCCGGTAGCCGAATTACGGCGAGGAGAGCGGACCGGGGAGGGGCGAGGGGAACCGGCCTAGGCAGGGAGGGGCGGGCCCAGCGGCACTTCCGCTGGGGGTGTGGCTAGGGCTGCCGCGCAGGCCCCGCCCCCCCGCGCAGGCCCGCCTCCGGCCCGCCGAGCTCCGCCCCCGCTGGGTGAGCTGCAAGAGCTCGTGCCTGGGCCAGAGGCCTGGCGCTTAACCTGGATTTTGCGGGGGTGGCGGTGGGCAGCTCTCTTTTTGCCACGTGGGGGTTCTTTCTTTTTAGGTCATAGGAACAGAAGCATCTACATACTAGCAACCCAGGCCCAAACTTGCGTGTAAGATTTGCTCAAACTTTGGTCATTTGGTAGTCCTGAGACTAACCCGGGCCAGGGGCTCTCAAAGTCTCTCTGGGATCCGACTAGATGTCAGGAATGCAGTCCATGCTCGTGGGTTCCCACGTTTCTTTTCAGGAGGAACAAAACAGAAACTAACACTTCTTGATTGTTCATTTTGTGCCAGGTGCTATCTAAGGACTTTGTATGAATTGTGTCCTCACAGCAACTCTCTAAGGTAGGTACAATGAATGCCCTGTTTTATAGATAAAATCATCGAGGCAAAGAAAGAAGAAATCGGCCTGGACTTATCCACATCTCACCCATCTCCTCATCCCTTCTTTTTGTCTGTTCCCCAGCATCCCAACCCATCACTCTTGGAGAGCGTTTGGGTTGGGGGGGATTTTAGTTCCTGGCATGGAGACTATCTGGCTATTGGCCGTAGCCACTTGCAGTAGGAGGGCGTATGAACAGAGGAGAAAGGTGTAATGGGATGGGTTCAACTCAGCCTCTGGCCAGCTCCCAGCCTAATGGGCAAACAGGGCCATTGAGCTTCCGTGTTGTTCCTCTGTAGTCCCGCCTGAAGCCAGAGTGTGTTTTCTTTAAAAAAGTAAATAAGACCATGTTTCTTTTCTACTTAAAAGCATCTGAGTTTCCATTGTTCTTAGGATCAAGTTGAGCTGCCTCCTATGGCTGGCGGTAATGGCTTGATCTGCCCCAGCTTGCCTTTCTGCCTCCTCTGCCTCTCCCCCCAGCACCTGCTACCCAGGGCTTCCTATTGGTTCCCCAATGTGCCATGCTACTTCTCACCTCCAGGGCTTTTCCTTCTGTCTGGAATGACTTTCTGGCCTTCTCTTCACCTGGTTCACTCCTCTTCTTCCTTCAGGCCTCAGTTTAAGGTTCAGTTCCTTGCATCCTCCCACCTCCTGTAACCATCTCCGAGAATAGGATTCCCTGTTGAGAGTCTGCCTCCTTCACCTGGTGGGAAACTCCCAGGGGACAGGACTGGCGCTGCTCCTTCAGGGAATGAATGAAGAAAGAGCATTTATATGTACCATCAGCTATGCTGAATGAATGCTTACTTACGGGGTTCACTGCACTTCTGGGGGCCACCAGTAAGTATTCTCTATAGTCCCACATCCCAAGGTGTTTTCAGTTTAATGAGGAAGATAACACAAATCCCATGAAAAGATATAATGATTATTTTGAATGTCTTTATTGTAAATGTCAAATAAATGGATGCTGGAGGAGGTTGGAGAAGAGAAATACCTGTGGTTTGACAGCTATTTATTCAGACTTTCAAAGTGTAAGATGTGTTGGTTGACACAGTTTAAAGGAAAAACATGCCCTGCCATGACCACTCCTCCCAATATTCAGGTACATATGTCCCAAGACTCTAGCCTGGGCCCCTTTTTCTCTTCTTCACATTTATTGAGGTCACAGTTCAATTCTTATTAGTTTCTGATGGAGCTGCAGCTATAAGAACCTCCTAATTGTTCTGCACATCCTCAGCCTCTCCTGCCTCTAATCCATTGCACATACTCCTGCCAGGTTAGTTTTCCTGACCACATGTGCTCAAACATCTGCAGTGGCTCCCAGCTGTCCACATGTAACACTTGACTCTTCATAATCTACTTCCAAACTACTTTTTAAAAGCTATAAATTGCATCCCAAGATTACAAAAGAAACATATGTTCACCTCAACTAGCAAAACATTGAAAGATATACAAAGAAAAACCTTAACCATCTTCCACACCTCCTCACCGTTTCCCACCAAGTCTCCAAGTCTCCTCATCCAGTGTTAATGTCCTGGAGTATACCTTCTACCCCTTTCACCAATATCTGTATAAACTGTGCTCATATAAACTACACTCATATGTGTGGGGCTGTTATGTTATTGCTTGTTTATATAAAAAAGGATTATATTGGGTGTCTCTGCAACTTGCTCATTCTTTCTTGAAAATAAATGGCTGGCTCTGCAGATATAGAGCTAATTTATTTTTTAGCTACATAGTATTTCATAGGATGTATATACTACAACTTATTCAACCACTCCCCTATTAATGGGCATATAGGTGACTGTTTTTTTTTCACTAATAAAATTTCTTGTGTCTACATCCTTGCAATCAGTGATTTTATTTCTATAGGATAGATTGCCAAAAGTACAGCTACCTACGCATCAGCCAAATCAAATTTCTTTGTACTCCTCACATGTCCTGTGTGTTTTTCCATTCCTTCTCTCTCCTCTCCTGGAAAGCCCTTGTCCCCAGTGTTTGTGTGTCCAACTTCCAATCCTGCGATGACCAAATCTGATCCCAGAATTTAGATCTGTGGTCCAATATCCACCTCCCTCCTTCTTCCTCACCTTAACACTGTAGTAATGTACCAGGCCCAGGCAGTGCTTCATGATTAGCATAAACCAATCATGGCAATCCTGTTTTCATCTCTCCTAACATCAACCATCCTTGCATCCTTGCAACTTGATGGGCAGTTTTGGCAAATGAGGAACAATTAGAAGTAAAGGGGTGGCATAGCAGGAGGGGAGTGTTGGGAAACACTCTGTTTTCATGATTAAAGGGGATGATGCAGGTGGTTTGACCCTTCCCCTTCCCCTCTTTCTCTGTTCTTCCTTCTTTGAACTTGGATATACTATCTGGAGCTGTGGTAGCCATGTTGTGACTATGAGGAAAAGTCCATGAGAATAGTGAAGAGAGACTTAATCTTGACATCATTGGGACACTGAGTCATCTCCAGCAATCATCCTCCTCCAAAACTTTTATTTTGTTAGAAAAATAAAATCACTGTTTAAGTCAGTGAAGTTGGTGATTTGTATATTTGTGGCCAAACATATCCTTGACTTTCCCCTTTAGCAAGTATTATTTCCAATGGGGCTACCACCACTGGAATACCACCACAGTGGTCCTGAAAAGCTTTAGAAACTTCTATGAGAGACTTACCTTCAAGTGTAGTTTTTGAAATAGCCTCAGAAGCAGGCAAATATTCTTAAATATTCTTACAGGGTGACTTTGGTATTTTAGACTAGTCAAAAGTCACTTGAAGTCAAGTGTGGCAATACCTTTAACCCTCAGTGCTACAGTAAAGTATTATACAGTGGACATTTAGGTGTTTTGTTTTTTTCTTTTCTTCCTTTGACAGTCTAACATCTGAGTCTCCTACTTGTTTGTTGGAAAGCAGGGTCTGCTTCCAAGTATGGAAGCTGAAGAGGCCAATCCTCCTTCTCCCCACCCTAGCAGTTTGAGGTTCCACCAATGGGATGCCCCACCTGGGTCTCTGACTCTCAAGGGGGTGACCAGAGGATCAGGGGAGTTTGGAGACCCTTTGCAGCAAAAGCAGAGATTCTGAAAGCCCATAGCAGCAGTGAGCCCAGTTCAATGGCATTGACTGTCTAGGAGAGGCAGAAAGGAGAGGACAGTTGCTGCCATGTCCGGTATGATGATGGCAGCCAATCAGGTAGTAGCCTAACTAGACTCTTCCAGTGGCATGACCAGGTGCATCTCCGCTTCCCAGCCACTGTCAGTTCTTCTGTCTTCTTACTGATTCTATGAATTTTCTGATGTCTTTGTGATAGAGTCCTTTTCTGCTTAAATTAGCTGGAGCCAGTTTCTGTCACTCACAACTAACAATATCAAATGATTTGCTAAGCCTGGCTCTTCAGGAGACTTCTAAACAGGCCCGATGGTAGTTACTTCTTAGTTGCTCCTGTGGGCTTCCATGGTGGGTACTAATGTGAGACCACAACACCAAACAGCCTGGCTGAATACCAACCCAGCCAGGTAATGATTTCAGCTGAAAAACTGGTCAGTTCAGGAAAGAGAATCAGTCATGCCAGAATTGACTGAGAAAATCATAGTTGGTTTTATCAAATGCCTACTGTGCCCTGCACACTGTTCTAGGTAGCTTTACATTACCTTATTTGCCTCTTACCAAAGCCAGGTAAGGAAAGAATTATTCTGCCCATCAGGTTTGAGAATGTGTAGAGTTTCTCCAACCTTTACTTCTAGCCCTGTCCTCCTACAAGCATGGATAGCACTCAATATGTCTGATGAAGGTCTCCAAGGCATCAAAAGACACTGTCAAGGTTGACCACTTTAGTTAACAGTCAACTCCAATTCTTCTTAAGAGTTTAAGCGCCTGGTACCTTGGGTGCTCAAAAAATGTGGGATGCAATCAATGGCACAGAAACACCTCTAGGCTACATTTTCTTGGGAAGGTGGTGGCCTGGAGCAATTGTGGTCTCATGTGACTATGGGGCTAGCATCAGGGAAGACGTAGAAGGTTTTCTATCCACACTAGACTGTACATGACCTAGATACTCCATATCTCTGGGCTCAGTGTCTATTCTTCTTTTCTCTTTCTGTCTCTAACCCTACATCCTCCCTTCCTTTCCCTATACCTTTTCCAAGCATGCATTAAGGCACAAATGATGTCATCCTACTTTTATTCCCTGAAGAGTCTTACCATGTACATCAATGGTATTCAATAAATACCAGTTACATGAATACATTTTCGAAGATTTTTCTTTCTCAGTCCCCACCTTTGCTACTGAACTTTCTGTCTTCCAGGGAGTCCTACCACACGGCATTTCACTTGAGGAGCCAAAGGCCTTGTCATGGTCTCAGTCTCCCTGTCCTGCTTCTTCAAAAGAAAAGGGGCCTTTCTGCCACCCACTGGTGAGGACCGCGGAGATGAGCGGTGTGGGGTGAGAAGTGGCAGCAGTGACCCGAGGAGCTGGCTGATGTGCAGTGGGACCAGCTCTGTCAGAGCACTAGCGTCATCTTTGACTTCCGTCCCCCTTAATAATTAATAGCACCCAGATCGTGTCGACGCATTCTGCCTTTGAAATGAGAGCTCCGTAAGGACCTGTGGGATGAATGAAGGAGCTACTGCCTGCAGAACCCAAATGTGAAAGGAGTCAACATGCAAGAATGAGGTCAGCAGTCATGGGAACCAGCAGATCAGCCCAAGATGTCACAAAGGTAAAAAGTAGGGAAACAAGGACTTTCTAGGAAGGATGGCATTCCACCTTCTCAAGGATGCTTCTGCCTCAGTCTCGCTCCTCCTCACCTCCCATCCAAAATCCTCCTAAGGGGTCTCCTCCCAGCCCCTTCTCCCCAAACGCTGCTTTGATTGGACCCCACATTGCCCCAAACCCCCAAGGACAACTCATTTTCTACCACAAAGCATCAAACACACCTCAGCTCGTCTCCTGTAATCTTCCGTCAAAGCTTGCTATCTGCTGTCCCTGAGGCCCAGCCATCCAGCCAGCCTGGGGTCTTCCCCCTTGCACCCTCTCAGTCCCATCTTTGCTCACCGGGTTCCCTCCTGTACCATCCAGCTCGGGGCTCTGCAGCGCCCCACCCGGGCCTCTGTCCAAGTAGAGCATGGTGCTTCAGCACGTGGGGGCTCTGGGGTCAGACTGCTTGGTTCCAAAGAGCAGCACTACCACATTTACTAGGTGTGTGACCTGGGGCAAGGTTCTTAACCTCTCTGAAGTTTCAATTTCCTCTTCTGCAAAATGGATGTAATAATGGTCTGTGCCTCCTATGGTCCACAGGTAAATTAAATGAGACAGCGCATGTGCCTAGCACACAGAAAGTGCTCAAAGTGGTCCTTATTATTATTATTATCCCCCATGTTCTTTCTTACCTCTGAACCCCTGGAGTGCTGTCTATGCTACTCGTCTGGCACTTAATTATGTACTAATTGATGATATCGTTTATTAGCTTTTTAAATTCTTATTGTTTAACTTTGTGTTTTTGTTTGTGTGTGTGTGTGTTCAACTTTCCAATTAGATTTTAAGCTCCTCCAGGCCTGAACCAGATGCCTTCTTAATATCCTCAACACAGACTGGCAGAGGGCTAAGTGAAAAGCAGGCACTAATTAACGAACACTTATTAAACTGAGTAATAAAGCATCCAATGCCTGGTTTCACAACCAGGATCTCCATTCATCCTCACAACAATCTTATAAAGCATATGCTGTTATTCCCATTTTACAGATGTGGAAACCGATGCTCACGGAGAGGAAAACACGTGCTCAAGTTCCAAAGGTCAGGGCTCTTTACAGCCTCCCAAGAGCCTCCTTCCAGCCTTCAGAAATCCTGGCAATGCCTTCCTCTCATGCTGTAATGACCCAAACGCACCTTCTCTGCCAACCCAGCTCGGCGTTACTGACAGCTCTCACATTCTTTCCATGTGCTCATGGGGGGAGATGTTGGAGACACATCGCTAAATGGAAAAAGTTGGTTATGAAAGAGCTGGGCATGCACACACCCACAGTAAATGCGTGTCGCCTAGAAAGCAGGCTGCAAGGGCACCTGTGGGCCTAGTGGTCTTCTTAACAGTGGGGTTCTGGGTGATTCTAACTTCCTTCTTGCTCACCTGTAATTTTGACTACAAACATTTATTGCCTTTATAAATAGAGAAAAAAACCCACAAGTTTTGTTTGCTTACTTTAACAGAGACAACGCTATAGGCACCCCAGTTGCCTTTTACTAAAACATGCTCTGGAATCAAGGCAACCTCTTTCCTCTCCCTTCCTCCCTCCTTGCTCCGAGCCAGGTGGGCAGAGACCCATCCCTGGCACTTATTAGTCACAGGTTTGAAATGCAGGGGTGGGCTGGGGAGGGAGCAGTGATTGGTGTGGGGTGGGAATTTGGGGATTCTTTTATGCCCTGCATCTCAGAGGCTGACAGGCTCTTGAGGGGTGGAAATGACTGGTAATTAGTGAACCTTCTCTGCCAGCACACACTAAAGACACACTTCACAGTCTCTGTGACCTCTGCAGCCCGGGGAGGCTTTGTTATGTAGATGCTCTTAATTGGGTGAGTCACTGCAAACGGCTTCCAGAGCGAGCAAACTGTGGGCTGTTTCAGGGAGGCTTCCTACCAGGGGTTCTAACTCAGGAATTAGGGGGGCTGGCAGCATCGGTCTCCAGGTAACTTCACCTCCACCCCCATAGAAGTGAGAAGTGGTCCCCACAGCTTGGAAATCAGCACAGTGAGCTTTTAGGGTGTGTTTAGGATGAAAAATGTTAACCGATGGCCTTCATCCTCCTCCTCTTCACTCTTTGCAGTTTATTGATCATCTATTCTGGGCAAGGCTGGGAATATTTTGAGGTATAAACGGGGCTCCTTCCATTCAAGGGGCTGACCACCTCGTTGGGAAGTCAGGAACAGAGGTGAATGTGCATGAGACCACCACACAGCAGGCATCAACGCCAGGCACGTGGAAGAGGCACTAAAATGATATTTCAGACTCTGGAGCAGTCACTGAAGGCTGGACCATTGGAGAAGCTTGTCCATGGCGCAGGAAGGACTTGGGAAGGATTCTGGGCAGGGGGATTCCCGGGACGTGGAGACATAGTGAACAAATGCATCACCAGGTCACCTTCACACCCAAAGTTGTGGCCCAGTACCCTGAGCTGGGCTCAAACACCAGAGGCACAGAGTGCAGCGTGGGAACAACTTACAGGGCCCTTGAACGTGCTGCTGTTGGTCGTAGAGCATCGCGTCTGCTGCTTCCTCTAGAGAAGGGCACAAAGCATGAAGACTTTTAAAAAGGTACCGTGTCCCAAACAGAACTCATCATGCACTGTCCCCGACCCCAGCCCCTGCAGCTAGTATTTTGGTGAATGACATTGTCTTGGCTCCTCCATTCTCTGCTCCCAAGCAGGTGTTAAGTCAAGGCAATTGGGCTGCAATCTCTTTGCAATCATCCCTCCCTTTGTGTCCCTACTGCGGCTCTTTCTGCAGGTCCTCACCGCGCTTCACGGGGATACGGGGAGTGGGGTGGGGTGTGCTTTCAGAGCCTGAGAGGACATTTTCCTGACCCTACTGTCCTCGTCCTCAGCCATCCTCCCCATAACTGTTGGACTGGTTGCTCTGAAACACAAACGTAATTATTCTACTCGGATCGCTCTCAAAGTGAGGCCTTTGCCACCTGGTCCCTGCCGACCTCTTTTGCTGTCCACATTGTCAAGGCCACCCATGACCCCCGTGTTGTCAAATCCTGTTAATTCCTCCATTCATTTGGCCTTAAGCAGCACTGGACACACTGATCATGCCCTCTTCCTTTCGGTCCTTAACATTTTATTTCTAAAATTTTCAAACTTACGAAAAAGTTTAAAGAATAAAATAGAGTGCCCAATGCCCTTCACCTAGACTCACCAGCTGCTAACACTTTGCCACATTGGTTCTCTCTCTCTCTCTCTCTCTCTCTCTCTCTCTCTCACACACACACACACACACACACACGCACACACACTTTTTTGGAACCATCTGAAAGCTGTGGGCATCTTGATGTCTACCTTTAATTTCTTCAGCTCATATCTCCTAAGGAAAAGGATATTCTCTTACAAAACCACAATACAATTAGTACAACTAAGAAAAGTAATATTAATTCAATACCATCAGTAATACCACCAAACAGTTCACATTTAAATGTTCCCAATTTGTCCCTCACATGTCTTTTTAGCTGCCAGTCCCTGACCCTGGGTCCAGTTCCAGTGTTTAATAAAGAAGCATGCTTTGGGCTGGGCGCCGTGGCTCATGCCTGTAATCCTAGCACTCTGGGAGGCTGAGACAGGTGGATTGCTCAAGGTCAGGAGTTCAAAACCAACCTGAACAAGAGCAAGACCCTGTGTCTACTAAAAATACAAAGAAATTAATTGACCAACAAAAAATATATAGAGAAAAAATTAGTCGGGCATGATGGCACATGTCTGTAGTCCCAGCTACTCAGGGGGCTGAGGCAAGAAGATAGCTTGAACCCAGGAGTTTAAGGTTTCTGTGAGCTAGGCTGACACCTTGGCACTCTAGCCTGGGCAACAGAGTGAGATTCTGTCTCAAAAAAAAAAAATAAATAAAAATAAATAAATAAAAAAGCTTGTGTTGTACTTGGCTGTCATGCCTCCTTAGTCCATTTTTATCTAGAACAGGAACAGTCCTCCCAGCCCTTTTTTCTTTCATGATATTGACATTTTCGTCAGTCTAGCCCAGTTCTCTTATAAAATATCCCACTTTCTGGATTTGTCTGTTTACTCATGAGTGGGTTCTGGTTAAACGCCGTTGGCAAGAATAGCACAGCAGGTGGTGTGTATTTCCCATCGAATCACATCAGAGCCCCATAATGTCAGGGTGTGTCGCCCCTGGAGGTGCTAAGTCTGAGCTCTGGGGTTGTGACTGAGGATCTCCCCACTGCAAAGGTACATGCTCCCCTTTGTCATTTATAGACTACCTGTGGGGCGGTACTTTGAGACCATGTGCATGTCCTATTCACTCCGTGCTTTCAACACCTCCTGATGGTTTTTAGCTGAGTGGGTCATCACACTGGGAGCCCCATCTTTTTGATTACTTTCTTTTCTTGGCCTCCAGGCCCTAGCATGCCTGTGGTTCTTCCTCACCTCTCCAGTTGCCCTGTCTCAGTCTCTTTGTGGTTCCTCCATTATCCTTGACCTCTAACCATCTGAGTGCTCTGAGGCCCAATCTTCAGGGCTTTCTCATCCTGTCTTCTGGCTTTATATGCCATCAAAAAGCTGAGGACTCCCCAAATTTCTAGCTCTAGTCCAGCCCTGTTTCCTGAGTTCCACGCTCTCGTATTCAACGTCCTCCTCAACATCTTCAATTGTAGGCCTCATCTCAAACTTACCAGGTCCAAAAATGACCCCTTGACTCCCTCCATCCCCCAATTTTCTCATCCATCTCCGTATGACAACACCATCCTTCCAGTGGCTCAGGCTAAAACCTTCCAGCTACTCTTGACTCCTGTGTTTCTCATGCTTTCCATGTCCAATTCTTCAGAAAAATCTGTTGGTGCCAACTCTAAAATATAGCCAGGTGCTGTTCACTGTCTGCAGGATTCCTGTGACAGTCTGCTGTCTGGGATCCCTGCTTCTGTCCTTCCTTATCCCTGGTCTGTTCTCAGCATAGCAGCCAGAGCAGTGCTTACAAAATGCAAGTCAGATCATGCCCGTCCTCTGCTCTAGACTCCCCGTCTCATGGGAGTACAAACCCAAGTCCTAATCTCAGCCTGTCCAGCCCTACATGATCTGTCCTCCATCCCCCAACCAGTGGCTTCATTTACCATTACTCTCCCCCACTGACTCCAGCCACTCTGATATGGCCCAGATTTGCCAGGCACCCTCCTGCCTCAGGGCCTTTGCACTTGCTGTTCCCATGGCTGGCAATATTTCCCCCCTAGATGTCCACTTGGCTCTGTCTCAATTCCTGCAGGTCTCAGCTTCAATGTCACTTTCTCAGTGGGGCCTTCCCTGATCACCCTGTCTACCCTGGCACTTTTGTCTCGCTTCCCTGTTGTGTTAGTCTCCATGGCACTCATCGCCACCAGACACACTCTGTATTCACTTGTTTATCATCCACCCCCTCACTGACAGCAAGCTCCACAAAGGTAGAAACTTTGCTTTTTTACTGCTCTGTTTCCAGATTTTAGATTTGCTTCAGGCACACAGTAGGTGCTCAACGTCGACAAAAGGAATTTCTAGCAACTCAACCTAAGCTATTATATAGACTCTCTTGGGGTCTGAGAAAGTACTGACAGTCTAAAAATGTCTGCATTCTCTTCCAGACACCGGGTGCCATTTCAGTGAGATGGGAGACCAGGGTGTGCCCAGGAATGGGTTGCAGGGTTCAGACCATAGCATGAGATGGAACACCTGGATCCAGGGCTGGCATGTGCCTGTGCACTTACACATATGTTTGTGTGCTTCCGTGTGTCTTCGAGAGTCTGTGCCAGTGCAGTCATGTGTAAGGGCTAGTAATCCTGTTTCCCTCTCCAAGAAAAACTGCATATGCTTTTGTGGGTGATAGAACCTCTCTGTGTCCACGAATGATTCTGCTTTCAGCTGCTGTATCTCGAGGCCTTAGCCCACCTGTGATTTGGAGTTGAGGAGCAGATCAAAGCCAGGAGCAGCTGTACTGGGATAGTCCTCTTTCTGGCTGGGTGACACTTTGCCCCTGGAAGCACTGGAGTTCAAGTTCACCACTCAAGCATAAGCAAAGGGACAACATGTGACTAAGAGAATGTGTTTGCTGTTCTCCCTGCCTGGAAAACCCTTCTCCCAGGTCTTCCCATGGCTAGCTCCATCACATGATTCAGGCTTCAGCTTGAGTGTGGCTCCCCTGAGAGAGGCCTTCCCAGAACATTCCACAGCTGTCTGAGGATGTGCAGTTTGTGCATCACAAAAGCATTGTGCAGAGGGGCTGAGTGCGGCCAACATCTGGCCCGTGCTCTGCTCCTCAAGGATTTCATAAAAGAAAGGATCTGAAGTGTAGGCAGAGACCTTGGACACTGTACCTAAATCAGCACCCTCTACCTCCCATACTTTCCCTCACATTGTCCACTTTTGACTTCATAGCCTGTATCAGTGCTACCTGAAATGATGTATTTTATATACTAATAATTATATTATTTCTCTACTTGTTACCTGTTTCCTCCCAACACAATGTAAGCCTCATAGAAGCAAGGACTGTATCTGTCTTGTTCCTGCTGTCCCCCCAGTGCCTGGCACATAGCAGGTGCTCAATAAACATCTACTAGTGTGTGGATTCTCTTTCTTTTTATTTCTTATATTTTTATTGATACATAATAGATGTATATATTTTGGGAGTACATGTGGTAATTTAATACATTCATATAATTTGTAAGAATCAAATCGATGTAACTGGGATATCTACCATCTTAAATATTTGTCTTTTCTTTATGCTAGACACATTAGAATTATTCTCTTCTGTTTTGAAATATACGAAAGATTTGGGGAGATGCGCATACTTACTTGCATTTTTGTTTTAGTAATCAAAAATCTCCTTAGATCAGCCAGTTTGTATTGGAGGAAACTGAGGACCTTCAGTGTGAGTGGATTCATCCATGGGGCACCCATTGAGTTAGTAGCAAGGCTGGGTCTTGAACTCCAAACTCCTAGGCCAGAGCGCCAGCCACCATAAGGAATGACTAGGGTCAGCCTTCATCTGGCCCTCAGCCTCTGGCACTGGTGGTGACAGGTGCATTGACACTAGCTTTGCCCCTGGCTCAGCTGCGAAGGGAGCCCAGGCTCGTTTCGGAGAAGTAGGAAGAGACTAGGAATGAATACTGGTAAATCACACCAGAACTCTTGTGTGTGCATTATTATCCGCCCCCCCATATATTCTAAAACAATCCTTGTAAATAATTATAAAAATAAATCCCAGTGACAAATTTTTATTTTATTTTATTTCCAGGAACACATTTATTCATCATAATCTCTTCGGGGGTAGGACAAATTGGAGCACTGGGTAGTGAATACAATTTGCAAATAGGCAATATAAGTAGAGGGAAAATTAATATGTATTCCTCAGCGCTGTAAAAGGAGAGGAAGAACATTAATAGCCATTTCCTTGCAGATATAACTTTGAAAATGTTATTTCTGATCCATCAGCATGGGGCTCCACATAAGGAAAATGGTTACAACGTGACAAGAAGCGATTAGATGTGAAATGGCATCGTTCAGGTGCTCCTCCCAGCCTCCTCGTCCTGTTTTTAGTGGGACATAGGGGGAGTCCTGTTTCCTTTTCTGGTCTGGGGTCACCTGCTCATTTGCTGGGTGACTTTGGGCAAGTCCCTTCCACTCTCTGGGCCTCAGTTTCCCCAGGCAGTAGTCGGAGTAGATGATTTCTAAAGCAGTGAGTTTTGGATGATCATCAGTAATCAACTTTGGGGGTATCGGAGAAAAATATAGAAGCGAGGGCACCAGCTTACAGAACCGACCACCAAGTTCCATATATTTTAATTGAGGGTGGAGGGAGCCCTTCTCTCCCACTTCCAAGTAGCAGAACCTCTCCAAGTCAAGTTGGGGTTCTGGAAGGGTGCCCCCTCTGGAAATATGCATAGGGTGGGTTCTCTATGGACCCCTCTTCTCCCACTCAGAGATGACTTGCCTCCTGAGCTCAGCCGAGGACTTGGCGTTTTCTGCAAGTTCCAGGCAAGTGGGAAATAAGATTTGTCTCTCATTGCTGTTTACAGGATTTGTTGAAATAATGCTCAAAGATTAGCAGATAATTTTAACTCTCTTTTTCCTGTCCTTTCCATGCCAATCTTCTTTTCTAATTTTAATTACAAAAGTGGCATATACACGTTACAGAAATCACAGGAGAAACAGCATGAAAAGCAGAAGCCCCTTTCCCCATCCCCAGCTCCCCAAACCCACTCCCTTCTCCACTCCCAGCTGATGTTTGGGTTTTAATAGAGAAACAACAACAAAACCTGTTAAAATCCGAAAAGAAGAAAAGCTGGAGGCACTGAGAATTAATAATAGTAATAATTTTTATAATAGTAAATAATAAATTAACATTTGTGGAATGAATACTCACGCTAGATACCGTGGTGGTATTTAATATGCATTTCAAAAAATTCACTTTGTTCTGATTGCGAGACACTGGAGGGGTGTGACTATAGATCACCCTTAATCCCCTCACAGGCATACAAAGACTCTGGAAAGGGCCCTGGAAACCTCCTGGCTTCCTTGCACTTGCTAAACTCTCTCCTTCAGCCAAACGGAGGCTGCTTCAGCAGCAAAGAGCGTTTCATATGCACACATCCAACTTTTTTTTTTTTTTAATTGAAATCTGAATGTGGTGAGTCTGAACGAGGGGCTGGGGTATGATTAATTACAGCAACCACCTTCACCTGCCCAGAGGCTGGGCCTGGAAGAAACGAGGCCAGGCTGAGGAGAAATTTAGCCGAGGCCTGGCAGGAATGCTAACACACCATCGTCCACCGGCCCTGCTCTTCTCTCAGCTGCTCGTAAATAGAGACGGAGATTTAAGGAATCGGTTCCTGTTTCACTGGTTCTGGCCGACCCCAGAATCAACTCCCTTGATTGGAAATAAACAGGATCTTCCTTCTTGTCTCCAGGAATGTGATGGAGGAAGGACTCTAGGCAAAGGGCCACTTCTGCCAAAGAATAATAACAACAACAATGGTGACAGTAGGGATAAAATATTGCCCTCTGCATCAAGGGTGGAAGCGGAAGGTCCAGTTGTATGTGTAGAAGCTTCTCGTTCTCTGTGTGCTCCTCTTGGAGCTCCAGAATTCACAGGCCCAGGATGGGATGTTCAGCCCAGGTCTGATGCGAACTTTCTGTTTTGTGGTCCCCCTGAGCGCACTTGTACAAATTGGGCTACATGCTTCAACTGTGGGTTGGGAAAATAGGATCACAGTGACAGCACTTCTTGCCGACACGGCACTGCAAATGTCTGATGCGAGTCTGACCATCTCTCCTGGAGGCTGCGTATCCATCATGTCTAGCTCTAGCGCCTAGCACGGGGCGGAGGGGCTGCGGAGTAAGGTGGGCAGCAGAGGGATGCTCCCAGCTCACTTCCCATCGGTCATGGAGTGGGATGAGGGCACCAAGGAAGAACCTGGATGATGGCACGAGCCCTCCTTGTCCCTTAGTGCTCCTGGGGCAGGGGCAGGAAGAGCTGCGTTCAAGACGAAGCCCCCACAAGACTTGTCTCCTGTGCTCCTTCTTGTAAACTCCTTGTACTCCAAAGGAATCCTTGGTCTCCCTCCTGGGTCAGCCTATCTCAGTGCTGCTTTGCTCTCTCCCCTCCCCGAGGGACGGCCGCATTACCCGAAGAACTTTACCTGTACTATTTCTGTTCAATTTTCCTTTTTGTTCAAGAAGGTGATCGGGAGGTAGACAGATGCCTCCTCCCCAATTTCAATCTTCCTTGGTTCAAGGGCACGGATTCTTTTTCTCCATCTCCTTTTTCCCTTCTTTCTTTCCCCCTTTCTCTCTCCTGTCCTTCTCATCCTTTCCCCTCCTCATTTTCCTGTTCTGAAAACTAACTTCAAAGCTGAAGGAAGTAAGGAGAGGTGAATCCAGTCTGTTTCCGCTGGAGTTACCCCCAGCTACATTTAAGAGATTGCTACTGCTATAGTCTGGGTGTTTGTATTCCTCCCACCCCCAAGTTCATATGTTGAAATCCTGACCCTCACAGTGATGGCATTAGGAGGTGGGGCCTTTGGGAGGTGATCAGGTCATGAGAGTGGAGGCCTCATGAATGGGATTAGTGCTTTTATAGAAGGGGCCTAGGGAGCTAGCGCACCCCTTCTGCCATGTGAGGACACAGCAAGAAGACAGTTGTCTGTGAACCAGAGCATGGGCCCTCACCACACAACAAATCACTACTGCCTTGCTCTTGGCAGCCTCCAGAACTGTGAAAAATAAATTTCTATTGTTTATAAGCCACCCACTTTAGGGTATTTTGTTATAGCAGCCCGAACAGACTAAGACAACTACTCTGCTCAAGAACATTAAATGGCTCCCTATTGTTATTAGTTTACATTTCTAACACTAAAGCTCACCTCCATCTGAGCTATCCTGGACTTTATTTCTTTGTGATTTCTCCACACGATCCTTCCCCATATAGTCAACTGGCCTTGTTGATATGCTCACTGAGTAGAGATGGGAGGGAGTGGGGAGGCATTTCCAGGCAAAACTAACAGCTCCAATAAAGCCAAGCAGAGGATGGGAGAAGTGGGAGAAGAGGAGAGGAAAGAGAGGAGGCTGGACGGGTAAGGACTGATGGGATTATAAACGATCAGAGGGACATACTAGAGATTTTGGACTGTATTATTAGTCAATTGGGAGCCATTAAAAGATTTTAGGTAGGGTCAAACTGGGCTTTTAGAATGGTCACCCTGGGGATATGTGGAGGAGTTAACTGTAGTGGTCTAGAAAAGGGGAGAAGATCCCTCCCCCTTGGGTGTCATTGGTAGATAGTGCCTGCAGAACAGCCAGCCTATGCTCAGAAGCCACAGCTGTGTACAGAGGCAGAGGCATGGATGAGATGACCTCCAGTAACCCCCTTCTGGTTGGGGAAGGGGGGTAATTCTCCAATTTCAACTTTGAGTGGGTTTGGGCTTGCTTCCACAAGTCCTCTTCTATCCGTGGAAGCCCTTCTAGGAAGGCTGGGGTGAAAGGTGATGGGGAGGGCAGAGTATCATGACTGTCTGGGCCTGGGCCCACTTCCTCCTTTTCAGGCAGGAAAGGCCAGCAAAAGTGGACAATGGAAGAGTGAGGGTGCGTCCAACAGAGAAGGAGGGAGGGGGGGCTGGTCCTTGGGGCAGCAGGCCTTGGAAGGTTCCCTTTGATCCCCTTATCTCTGGAGGTAGGCTTTCTTTTTTGGCCTGCAGGACCTTTTGTTGCAGCATTTCCTGGAACCCCTCAAAGTAAACACAGTCGAGTCTGCATTCTTACAGCTCCACTCTGCTGAATCGGCTCCTCCCCGCCTAGAGAGGGACAGGCGATCAACACTGCTCATCACCACGCTGACAGCGGCCTACCTAGCAACGTGTTAGGACCAGAGCTGTCTGAGAGACAATGATGATAAGCACAAAACCCATAACCACAGTCATAATTGTCATCATCAGCAGCACAACCAGGGCCTTCTAAGTGCTGTTTAGACACAGGGGACCGTGACATCAAAAGCCCTGGGAACACCCCCTCCATGGAGGTGGGGAGCTACAATGATCAATAGGCCCACTGAGTTGAGGTACCTGCAATGTGGGTGAGACCAGGAGGCTGGCACCTTAGGACTCAATTTCCCCTCCTCCATTTGATTGGTGCCTATACCCACTGGAATGAAGGGAGCAGGGTGGAGAGGCCAGTTAAGGCTGGGCTGGCTCTTAGCCACAATGGGGAGTGAGTGATGACAACCATTTGGTAGCAGCTTTGTGCATCCTGGGTGTGGAGGAGGGAAGGCAAGAATAGGCAGGGAGAGAACTCGCATCCTTCCAGAGGAGAACAGGCATGAGCTTAGGGAGTCGCCTGCCCACTGGGCCTGAGTTCATCCAGACAGGGGCAGCAACAGCCACCTCTTACTTCCGGATGGGGGTGGGGTGTGGGCAGCGACTGACCCCACTGGTAACTGTAAGTGTCACAGATGTCTTTTCCCTCCGAGGAGGGGGAGAACACAGAAGCCTGAGATTCGGGGACACCATCCAATCCTACTTGCACATGGTTTATCATCGTTAACTCCTGGAGGCCACAAGGAGAGGGTGCGGGGCTGGTAGCCAAGGCAGCACTTTATTTGCAGAGAAGTCCAACTCCCCCCACCTTCCCCTCTGCACACGGAAACCCCGATAGCCCAGGAGTCTTTCCTGACTTTCCCCCCTCCCCCCAAAGCTGGGCTGGGGAGTTGGGGCCAAGAGGCCCATCTTCCCTGCAGTTAAGGGCAAGTTATGTAACCCAGATTGCGAAATTTAGGAAAGGCCCGCTGTCTACACCGGCTAACGGCTCAGATGGGGGGCCCCATACGAATCCCCGCTGCCCAACTAACGCAATAAAGTCTGGCCATGGCGTTGTGGAGGACCCTCCTGGGGCTCTGGGGCTGTGGGACGCCGCGGGGGTGGGGTGAGGCGGGAGGCAAGCGGTCACGGGGCGCCGCGTGCCCGGGCCACCTGCGGCAGCTCGCGGCGCGGGTGGTCCGGGCTCACCTGCTCCGGGGCGGCCGGCCGGGGGCGGGGCGGGGCGGGGGCGGCGCGCAGCTGAACCCCGGTCCGAGCCGCGGCCCGCGCCTCCGGCTTCCGCCAGGTCAGCTGACCGCCAGTGCGGAACTGCGCGCCCGGCCCGCGCCCCGCCGCCGCCCCGCGCCCAGTGCCCCGCGCCCGCCCCGTCCTGGCCGCCATGGCCGGGCTCGTGGTCAGCGGAACCCAAGTAAGTCCGCCCCAGCCGGTCCCGCCCCGCCCGGCGCAGTGTGCGGGGAGGGACGGCGTGGCTGCGCCTGCAGGTGGCGAGTGTCAGGTGCCCAGGCTTGCCCTAGTTCGGGGAGGACAGACCCGTGTCCGCCGGGCGCACCTCCTGGCTGTGTGGGAAGAAGACCCCCAGGGCCCCGGTCCCCTCCACTTCCCTCTGTCCCCAGCACTTCACTGAGCAGGACCAGCCGGGAACTCCTTCATCGGCTTTTGGGGGCCCACAGAAAATGTTTTAATTTCTTTCATAATCCGCATTTAAAAAGAACTTTCCGTTAAAGAAAACGTTTTAATATATAACATGAATATAGTTGTCTTTATGCCAATGCAGTTTTAAAATATAAATTTACTTATAAAGGAAGGGAGGGACCCATGAAGGCAGAAGTGACGGCGGCCACCAAAGTCACAGTGTATCCTTGGGGGAGGGTGGTGGTGGGCTCTGCCCTGACCGCCCGCTCCCGACCCGAGGCTGGTGGAGGGCCACTGTCTCCACAGTTTTATTTCCACATCTGTTTTCTTATTTATGTTTTAGAGAAATAAAACCTATATCTGTAAGGTATAAAACCTTGTAAAAGATTAAGTGGTTCTGGACTTTGGAATATTCATTACTTTGCACAGACTATACCATGCTTTGGGTGTGACTCTAAGAAAAACAAATAGAAGCACTACATAGAAAAATATGGTCATTTGTCCTCTTGAACTCGTATTGCTGTTACATTGTTCCCTTGCTGGTTCCATAGTAAACTCACATGAAAGTAATCTTTGTTGCCCAGGCTGGAGTACAGTGGCACAATCGTAGCTCACTGTAGCCTCGAATTTCTGGGCTCAAGTGATCCTCCCAGTAGCTGAGACTACAGGCGCTTGCCACCGTGCCTGGCTAATTTTCCTTATTTTTTGAGAGATTGGTCTTGCTATGTTGACCAGGCTGGTCTCAAACTTGTGGCCCTCCCACCTCAGCCTCCTGAGTCATTGAGATTACAGGCATGAGCCACTGTGCCGCCTGCACTTGATTTCTTGAACAGGGAATGGCAACACTCTGATTTCCATCCTGGGTAATAGACATCCAGTTTCACATGCTTTTAGCCCTATAGTGAAGCCTCAGGTGTTTTTAGTCATTGCTGGAGGGATGAACTCAGCCACACTGGGACCAGGTGTCGTACCTGCTGGAAAAGCCAAGTGTCTCTCTTTAACCTCTTCTCTCTGATTAAGCCAACCCTCCTACTTCCTACCTTTTTCTGCACACCCTGGAGAAACAGTTCTGGGTTTTTCAAGCTCTCCCCTTGGATTGCCTAAGGCAGGTAATGTCAGGTGCAATTGGATTTTGAGATTACTTTGGGCTAAAGGGAATGATTCCCCCTTAGAGGAGGTTCTAGGGGTTTTATAACTCCTTCAGATACAATGAGGGCAGACTGTGTGTCCCATCAAGCTATCCACTGCCTGTTTCTTTTCCAGGGTCCTGTCATTTCATCAATTATATATACTTACTGAGTGCCTACTATGTACCAGGCACTGTGCTGTATGTTGGAAATTAGCCCTTCCATTGTCTCTCTGTACCCGACTTTTAACAGAATTTTCTTGCCTGGGAATACTGGCTCTGTCCTTAGACTCACAGCCTGTGAGGAGAGAGCTAGAAGGTCCAGAGTTCAGACGTGAGTGGGCCAGGGAGGTACTAGCCTCTGAGAAAGGTTAAAAATGATGACTGTTGGGCTGAGTGTGGTGGCGCATGCTTATAATCCCAGCACTTTGGGAGGCTGAGCAGGGAGGATCGCTTGAGCCCAGGGATTTGATACCAGCCTGGGCAACGTAGTGAGATTTCATCTCTTAAAAAAAATTAGCCATGCATGGTGGTGCACATACATAGTCCCAGCTACTTGGGAGGCTGAGGCAGGAAGGTGGCTGGAGCCCAGGTGTTTGAAGTTGTAGTGAACTAGGATCATGCTACTCCACTCCAGCTCTGGGTGACAGAGTGAGACCCTGCCTCTAAAAGAATAAAATAAAAATATAAAAAAGAGTCACCAGGGAGAAGGGGCTTCAGGGAGTTAACATGACTGCCTAGAGGGAGGGTCTGGATGAGAGTGTCTCTGGCCTCTGCTGGAATATCTGCTCAAGCAGGAGGGTCCCCTCTCTCCACCAGACCCCAAATCTCTGCATTTTCAGATTCAGCATTTTCTGGATGTAGCTTCTTCCATGTTCATGGAGGACTTGGGAGGGGGCTGAGAACTTTCATGGGCCTCCTTTTCCTTTTTCCTTCCCCCATTTCCCAAACTTGATTTTTCCTGCACTCCCTGTACTTAGCCTTCTCCAAACAGCCCAGAGGCATTCGGTGAAGGGTAGGTGAGTCATTTTGGGCCCTTGGGGACTATTTTTAAGGATCAGCTGCCTGGGGAGGAGCTAAGAAGGCAGGTTGGGAAAACACCCTATTTCCTAAACCACCCAGGCCAGTGGATTTGAGTGCCTGCTCGACCCCTCCTGCCTTAGGGTATCTGTTAGCATCCTGCCCCAGGCCGTTTCTAATGCCAGCTATTATAAGAAGTAGCATCTTGCATACCTGTAGTATGGTACTTCTCAAAATTTGGTAGGGCTCCTTAAAGGGGTCAGGGACTTCCCACGAACCCAGGGTGTTGATATAGTTATTATTATAGTGTTATTCAAATGCACAAAACATAAAACCAGATATAACTTTTTCATATTTAGAGACCTAAAAGTCTTTATTAAAGGGATGGTTTAAGTGCAAAGAAAAAACTCAATAAAATTAATTTAATGAGATGGGCGATGTTTGCTTGAAGCCAGGTCACTGCTTTTAACTCCACTGTGGACTGGCTGCTGTTCAACTGGTCTTTAGGAGCTCCACAGGCCTGTGGTGCTACTGTGCTTGGGGACATTGCAGTCTTCCCATCACTGTTCTCTGTAAAATGTTTTCTTTCCACGTGAGTCTGACTTCATTTGGCTTTTTGTGGCTTGAATACATCATTTACGTTTGCATTAAGTCCTGTTTCTTCTTTTTCCACTAGCTTAGTGGCATCAATATGATTATAGACACAAAGCAAACTTGGGATTTGGGCACTGAAATCTTGCACCCAAGAATCACAAATCCTTTCTGTAGGGATATTTATCTGATTCAACAACTATTTCACCGAGTGGCCACAGGTGACAAGAACAGTGCTATGTGGTATTTTTTTTTTTTTTGAGACAGAGTCTCACTTTGTTGCCCAGGCTAGAGTGAGTGCCGTGGCATCAGCCTAGCTCACAGCAACCTCAATCTGCAGGGCTCAAGCGATCCTCCTGCCTCAGCCTCCCCAGTAGCTGGGACTACAGGCATGCGCCACCATGCCTGTCTAATTTTTTGTATATATATTTTTTAGTTGGCCAATTAATTTCTTTCTATTTTTAGTAGAGACGGGGTCTCGCTCTTGCTCAGGCTGGTTTTTGCTATGTGCTTTTAATATGTTATCTCATCTTGTCTGGGGGATGGACATGCTTGAAGCTCTGACTCAGGTGGGGCAAGGGCAATATACAGAACTTAAATTTGTACCCCATAATATGCTGAAATTTAAAGAAATGTTATTTCTGTAAGTACATTGTGGATAATATATGGCTCATAGGGCTGTTTATGAGGATTGACTAGATAACAAGCACATGGTGGGCATTTAATGAATGTTAGTTGTATTTTTGTTAACACCTTTGAAGGCAGTTGGTGTCAGGTTAGTTACAGAAGAGGAAACAGACTTTGAGAGATTGTGACTCATCCAAGACGATGCAGCTAGTAAGTAGCAGCCCAGGGACTCAAACTTGTACCTAGGGTTGTTTTTGCACGGACAGAGCTTCTAGTACTACACATTTGAAATTGAGGATCCCCCACAGCTGGCTAGGGGTAGGCATTATAAAACAATCTCCTCTCAGTTTGACTGCTGGTAAACCCACCATTCCCAGAAATGCCCTCGGAGCCAGGCAGTCCCAGCACAAAGAGAAACCAGCAGTCTTCTGCAGTTTAGTTATTTCCTGCAGCTTCTGCTCAGAGGGGTTGGGTGTGTACGTGGGTGGGGATCCCTCCCATTCTCCTTTCCCTTTCTTGGTGTTCTTCTCCTAGGTGTCTTCAACTTGCTATATTTTCGTTTGCCTGGTGAGGGTGTCCCTTCCTGTTATCATTCCACACAGGGTGGAAGTCACAGGGTACAAATTATATAAGGTAGGAAAGTTAAAAGTTCAAATCTTTGTTCAGTTCAGTCTAAATCAAGATAATTGACTAAATGCAATGACTTCTAGTTCTGGACATGCTCTTCTGGGCCTCTAAAGATCTACTAATCTCTATCTATGTCCCTTCTCCCATTTGCTGAAGAAGTAAAGTATCTTTGGTCTGGTTCTTGCCTTGTATCTTACATTAGGTGGTCCTGTGCTCTAAGAAGCTTCCCGACATCCTGAGAAGCAATGTCTTCCACTCGGAAGTACTTCTTAAGTTTCTCTTCTAGTTGTGAGTGTTGGTTGCAATGCCTGGCCATGGTTGCTTGCTGCTCTTAAGTCTTCTCTAGCTGAGTTGAGCCTCTCAGCCTCTGTTGGCTTAACTTACATCTCTAAAGGCTTCCAGTTTACTGCAGGGGTGGCCTAAGCATGCAGATTGCTTATCAAGTTGGTTCTCATGCTAAATTTTGGAGTCTCGATCTTCATCTCTGTGGAATGGAGAACAAGTATTTAGTTTTCCTGGGATGTTGTGCGGTTAAGACCATGTAATAAAAACAGGCTGATGAAAGTCTTATCAGTCAGGTTGTGAGTCATCTGAATGGTTTGTGGTGATAGCTCTTCTTGGTGCTCGTGCTTCCTCTGAAGGGGAATCCTACAGAAAGAAAAGGGGAGCAAATACCCCTCTCTTTCCTCAGGCTCCAACATGCTTCTTGGGCCTTCAGTGTGGTATTGTGGGGTAGTTCTCACCCTTTCAGCTAGGAAGACTCATTTTGAAGTCAAAACATGATGATAGGTGCACCGTTGGCATTTGTGGATCAAGAAAACCCACATCCACATGTGGATTTGTGAGTGCTCTATGGCCCCCACGTTGGAAGTCCGTATTCATGGTGCAGGACTTGGTCCAAGGTCTATCATTAAGAAGCTGTGCGATGCTGGGCAGGACTCTGGAGTCTTAGTCTCCTTGTATAAAACATGAAGGGTTTTGACAAACTGGGTCCCGACTAGATTGAGCCGTTGGCTAATCTATGAGGAAAGAGCTCATTTTCTATGCCTAAAACTCAACTTCTCTGCTGTATAATATTGCAGAAGTCTTGAATGATGATGATATGTACATGATGGTGGTGCAGGCTGGGGTGAACGGGATGGGCTTTCTGGTGAGCACCATGGTCATGAGAACTTACAATGAGGACTTACAACACAGAAGAAGCTGCTGTGATTGAGTGGCTGTCCCAAGGGAAATCGAAGTCCCCAGATTGATTGGGGCCCCATATCCCCAGTCTCCCCTTGGTGTATGATTTCCATCTCTGCTTGGCAGCAGAGTTTAATGTACTATACAAGGAGCAGTGAAGAGACATGAATCCCATGGAGAGAGGGGAGATATTGATAGATTGGACTAAGAGTCTTTTGTAGCCTGTATCTTCCTGAGTCAAAATTATTTTATTGGAGTCAGCGACTTTTCCTTCTCTCCTCCTGGAATGAAGTTACTGAAGGAGAGTGAATAGAAAGAGAGTGAATAGAAGGAGAGAATACAGGATGTTGTATTGTCAGTTGTTTGTTCCCAGTGGCTAGAAGGTGGAGTGATGACGTGTGTGATATCAAGGGTGCTAAGCTTCTGTGTGGTTTGTGTTAGGTAGAACCATGTGGAAGGGATGGTTTTATAATTTTAAAATGGTTGGATATTGGTAACTCATGGTTCAGCCTCATATCTCAGGAGGTGAGATGGCCACCGTATTCATGTTGCTGCTTAAGAAATATAAGCCCCGTGGGAATCTCTCCTTCCTTTCAAGACATCTTTGTATGTGTGGAAGAATGTGGATTTTTAGGGAGACTGGATTAAGGCTATAGCTCTGTGGCAGGCCAGAATTTCTACTTGGGGGTTGAGTGTGTTGTTGTTTAGGGAAATACCATGTCTTGTGGCCCACAGGCCAACTTATCTTATGGGTTTTGGAGTTAATTGTCAATATGCCCTCAGGGTGCTATCTGTAAAGATGGTTCTAAACATTGAGTGGTTGGAGTAGTGAGAAAGCTCACTGACCTTCTTACAGTCAGAAGTTCTAGGATCAAATTTTAGTTTGGCCTTTTAATATTTGGGCACAGATTAGGTACTTAATAATAAATAGAGGAATGCCCAAGGAGGCAGCTCTGGGTTGATTGCCAAAGGCTCCCTGGAGGAGGGAGGTTTGGAAGTTCTGGCCACATGTCATTGCCCTGTTGCCTTCAAATGAGCTTTTTCAGAGCGTGGAGGGCATTTTATACACTGTGGTGATGGGATGGGATTGGTGGTTTGGGGAGGCCTTTTTGTCCAGCCCCTGAAGGGTGAATGCTGGTAAGTGCATCTGCTGTGTCTTTCATGAGGTCATGTGCATAACAGGGGATGGGGGTGCAGTGGAGGAGAGGCAGAGGGCGGCCGTTGCAAAGGTCCGTGAGTGGGAAGCGGATTGTTGCAATTATATTAACGTGCTCTGACATTGGGGTTTCTTTTGGACACCTGAACCTGGTCAATTTTAGTCCAATTTCCATTGTGCTGGGATTAGTCTCCATCATGCTAACTGTACCAGGAAAAGGGAGTTATTGGTGGAGTCCCCGAAGCCCCCAAAGCTGATTTGACCGGGAAAACAGTCACAAATGTGGCCTTTTTGTGTGCGAGGAACGTGTGTTTAAAGTTGCGGAAGTAATCATCGGATCAATGACGCAGGTTTGGGAGCAGCTGGGTGATTTCTGTTTGCCACATTGTTTCTGTTCCATTTAATTTCCAGGTGTCCTACATAGGCCAGGACTGCAGAGAAATTCCAGAGCACCTTGGCAGGAACTGTGGACATTTCGCAAAGAGGCTTGATCTGAGCTTCAACCTCCTGAGGTATGTAACCTTCGAGAGATGCAGGCCAGGCCTGGGAGGCCCAGCTCCCCTGGGTACTTAAGGGGCGGCAGATAAAAGCCAAACATTCCAGCTTTGCCTTGGGTGTCCTCTTATTCGATGCTGGGCCCTGAGACACGTGCAATCACACCCCAAAGGTGTGACTCTGCTTCAGATGATTCCTTGGTTGGCTTTTTTGTGCCACTAAAGAGGCAGTGGGCATTTGAGTGTCATCCATCTCTCGGGAGTTCCTAGGAGGGGCTGTCGTATTTTCACTTTGTTCTCTCCCTCTCTCACTAATATTTGTGCGGACAAGTCAGAATACTCTTGGGGAAGGAATGAGGTGTGCTTTTTTGGATAACCCCTTCTCCCAAAGCATCTGCCAGAGCCACCCTCTGGCAGAGGAGGGACAGGGCCTTGTGGGGGTGGGTGTATGTGAGGCAAGAAGAGGCTGTGGGCTCCGAGGGGCTGGGTCTGCACGGGTTTGTTGTAGGAAACGACAGGCCCTGGATGCAGGAGTATTTAGTAAGAGGGTCTATAAAGTAGATTCGGAAGAAGTGAAGATTTGTATTTTCCTTTGTTGAGAGGAGGGAGATTCTGTAGTGTTGAGTTTGAGGAGCTTTCCCATCTGGCCAGGAGCCTGTTCCCATTGGCCGGTGTGTGAGCTCTGCACCGGGTTGCAGCTGGGTTTGGGCAGGGATGAGTGATGGAGGTCTAGGGTTCAGAAAGAGTTTATGTTTAGGACTTGGCTAAGCTGGAGGGACTGGAGGGAGTTACAGACCGGATTGGAGACGAGCACTGCTGACTTGACTTGGGAATGCTGGGATTGGATCACCTTTGACCTTCTCTATGCACCTAATTGGGGGAGGGGTGGGCGGCACTGTTTCTCTTGGTGTTAGAGGAAGATTTGAGCACACTCGGGCGCTGGTCTCTGTCTCTGCCTTCTCTGAGCAGAATCAAAGTTGAGGACGTTTTAGATATTTAGCTAATTCCTCTTAAAAAAATAAAAAGGGGAGGGGGGAAGTAGGAAGAAGGGAAGAGGTAGGAGATCATAAACTTACCTTCCAAATAAATGAATATGTAACAGATGACCCAAGCCCACTAGGCTTCAGGGGTCATGATATCCAAAGGAAATATTTTGAGTCTGCATCCTATGTTCTGGAGAAAGTTTCTCCCTAGGCCCCTGTTACTATATTTCCATGGGATTGCGGGGAGCATATGTCCTAGTCAGTTTGTGGCCGGATTCACTCCTGCTCTGACCATCTCTGGGTTCTGTTGCTGTTTTTCTCCCTCTTGTCAGCCTGCCTGGCTCCACTTGGGACACTGCCTTCATTTCTCCAAAGCCCAATACAGTATTATTATGTGTTATACATTTGTTTTGCCACTGGAGGGTATAGGGTGTGGGGGGTGGTAATTTTGGCAGAAGCAGGAGACAAGTTTGGGATAGCACTGCTTCTGGAAACTTTTTCGGATACTCCCCGCCACAGAGAATTTCTCCCTGCTGGTGCATCCTTTAGGGTCAGACCTGCATGTGACCCAGCACCTCTCTCTCCTAGCCCCTTTCTTTCTCCCATGTCACTTACCTTCTTTCTAGAGACACCCTCAGAAATACAAATTCTTTTCCCTTTATTATATACAGAAAAATTAACCCTCTCCCCACCTTTTTAGAACATCTCTACAGGTTTCCTTTTCACCTCTGAAGAGCCATATCAGGGTATTGCTCTAAACAGAACAATACCCCCTAATAAAAATTTTGCTACTTCCTCAGGTTGCAAGATCAGCAACAGTCTGTGTTGTAGGCCACAATTTGTTTTTAGACAAGGGGCTATGTTTATTTCTTTTTGAATAGTTAATACATGAACATGGCATAGCCTTAAGAAGGAACAAACATGCAAACAGTGTGAAGAAAGTCTTACGCCTGTCCTTCAGCTACTCAGTTCCCTTCTGCACTAACTACTATTACTCAGTTTTTGTGTAGTCTTCCAGAGATAGTCCATGAATATGCTAACATGGGAATTTCTTATTTTCCAGCTTTATTGAAGCGTAATTAGCAATTAAAAATTATATATGTTTATGCTGTACAATGTGATATTTTGATACATGTATACATTGTGAGGTAATTACCATGCTTAAGCTAATTAACATATCCATCAGCTCACACAGTTACCTTATTTTTTGTGGTAAGAACATTAGAGATCTACTGTCTTAGCATATTTCAATTATATAGTACAGTAATATTAACTATAGCCACCATGCTGTACGTTACATGTATATTTAAGTCTTTAATCCATTCTGAGTTGATTTTTGTATATGGTGTGAGATAAGGGTCCAATTTTATTCTTCTGCATATGGATATCCAGTTTTCCCAACATAATTTATTGAAGAGACTGTCCTTTTCCCCTTTGTACATTCTTGGCACCTTTGTAGATCAATGGACTGTAAATACATGGATTTATTTCTGGGCTCTCTTTTATATCCCCTTGGTCTGTATGTCTGTTTTTATGCCAGTACCTTACAGTTTTGGATTTAATAACTATAGCTTTGTAGTATATTTTGAAATCGGGTAGAATGATGCCTCCAGCTTTGTTCTTTTTGTTTTTGTTCAAGATTATTTTGGCTGTTTGGGGTCTTCTGTGGTCATACGAATTTTAGGTGTTTTTTTCTATTTCTGTTAAAAATACCATTGGAATTTTGATAGGAATTGCATTGAATCCTGATTGCTTTAAGTAGTATGGGATGTCTTTCTATTTATTTGTATATCCTTAATTTCTTTCATCAATGTTTTATAGTTTTCACTGTACATGTCTTTCACCTCCTTGCTTAAATTTATTCCAAAGTATTTTATGTCTTGATGCTGTTGTAAATGGGATTGTTTTCTTCATTTCTTTTTTGGGTAGTTCTTTGAGCATATAGGGATGCAACTGATTTTCGTATGTTGATTTTGTATCCTGCAACTTTACTGAATTTCTTTATTCTAACAGTTTTTTGATGGAGTCTTTATGGTTTTTGATGTGTAAGATCATGTCATCTGCAAACAAAGATAATTTTACTTTTTCCTTTCCAATTTGGATGTTTATTTCTTTTTCTTGCTTAACTGCTCTGGTTAGCATTTCTAGTACTATATAGAATAGAAGTTGCAAGAGTGAGCTCTCTTGTCTTATTCCTGATCTTAGAGGAAAAGCTTTCAGCTTCTTATTGTTGAGTGTGATGATAGCTGGGGGCTCGTCGTACATGGCCTTCATTATTTTGAGTAAATTCCTCTATACTTAAATTGTTGAGAGTTTTTAATCATAAAGGATGTTGAAGTTTGTCAAATGCTTTTTCTGTATCTATTGAGATGATCATATAGTTTTTATTCTTCATTCTGTTAATGTGATATATCATACTTATTTGCATATGTTGAACTGGTTTTTGCATCTCGGAGATAAATCCCACTTGATCATGATCCTTTTAATGTGCTATTGAATTTGATTTGCTAGTATGGTTAAAGATTTTTGGATCTATGTTCCTTAGGGATATTTGCTTGAATTTTTCTTTTCTTATAGTATCCTTGTCTAACTTTGGTATCAGGGTAATGCTGGCCTTTTTAAATGTGTGTAGAAGCATTGCCTCCTCTTCAATTTTTTGGAAGAGTTTGAGAAGGATTGATGTTAATTCTTTAAGTATTTTATAGAATATACTAGTGAAGCCATGAGGTCCTGGGCTTTTGTTTGTTGGGAAACTTTTGCTTGCTTATTTAATCTCCCTACTCATTATTGATGTGTTCATGTTGAATTTCTTCTTATGTGGCCAGGTTTGTATTTACTTCTTGCTAAGATGTTAGTTAAAAGGGAGGCACCAGACTTCAACCACTCATGTTAAGAACATCCTTCTTTGTTGTCTTATTACTCAATTTTAGCCACACACTGTCATCACTGTTAATATCATTTATAAAAGAGATAGTTCTGCTGATTGTCCTATGGCCATCTGTCCATGCTGGAGGGAAAGGTGGTTATAGATTTATAAGTTCTGAAGTTTAGTTTGAAGTTATTGTATGTATTTTTTTTTCTTCTCATTATACTTTAGGATCTTCTCTCTTATGTTAACTATGGTGACTCTACCTTTGCCTCAGCTGGATTGTCAAACAGTAAACAAGTTACCTCTCCATGCAGGAGGTCATGGATTTCAGACTGTTATTTTTATGACTCTTCATTCAAGTTACTGGAGCCACTGTGTACCCTCTCAGGTTAGAAGTTGGAAAAGGAAGCAAGAAAACATGCCCAAATAAAATTTCTGGCTCTCTTAAAAGGATCAAACATTTTCTTCGCCCATTCAGCCCAGATCTGATTCTTTCTGTTGTGATGGGATGGGAACCAGGTCAGCGATAGTGACTGTGAACTGGAATGAGATCTCTGGACTCAATTCCCAGGGTCAGGGTTTTGCCATCCTCCCTGGAATGAAGACAGAGGGCTTAGGGAGTTAATCAGGAAACAGCCAGGAGGAGTGACATTTTGCTCCTCGAACTTGACTATATTAATGATCATATGTCCAGTGTCTACATATGCATGAAATTGTACTTATGATCTTTATTTTTGAAGATAATTTTTCTTATCATAAGAGAAAATCAATATAGAAATATTGGAAAACTTAGGTATGAAGGAAACTGTCTTCCTCTCAAATCATTGATAATCTTAAAAACCAGAAATCATCATTGTTAACATTGTATTGTCTTCCTACTCTTTTATAATGCCAAACACTTTTTAAAATGATGCTGCTGTTCGCATTGTGTTGGAAGCATTTTCCCATACAGTAAATACTACATCACAATTTTTAATGGTTTCTCAAATCATTTCTTAGTGTTGGACATTTAGATTATTTCTAGATTTTTACTGTTGTGAGTAATTCTATTATAAATATCCTTATAATACTCATTGATGAGTATGTCTCTGATTAGCTGCTTTGACAAGTTCCTGGAGACAAAATTGTGAGGGGGCTTTAGTACAGGTATCAGATAGCCCTCTAGA